CTCGTAGGTGCTTAGTGACTGTTTGTTAAATAAATGCATGAATATCTGAGGCCTGGAGGGTGCCAATAAGCACGTCAATAGTGGGGTGACACAGTTCTGGAGCTGGCTGGAAATGAGCTGAATTCTGGATGCCTTGATGCCTCACCTCAGGCTGGTGAGAACCCCTGCCTGAGCACTCAGAGAACCAGAAAGCTGGGTGCAGGACACAGGCATTCCCTGGCTGAGAAAAAATCCACCATCCCTTGGAAACAGGACCCCCCACCCCCATTCAGGACTGAGACTGATGCAGTGGGCCTCCCTCCTCAGCCCAGGTGCTGCAGGCCCCAGCTCTTTCCTGGCCTGCACAGACAGGTGCAGTCAGGGAAGAAACACAATCTCCCCCACCCACAGGGAGGGCCAGGTCTGGTAGGCTGGACCTGGCACCCCTGGAGTCTCAGCACAAGTGTCCTAGACCTCACTGGATCTAGTGTCCTGCTTTCCACCTGGCTGCCTGCATGGAGCACTAGAGGTTGAAAAAGGGGTGACCCAGAGGCAGAGGTGACATGCCCCAGCCACCTTAATGCATCACTGGAGAAGTTCAGGTACAGCCAACCTATGCTATGGAGTGATAGTGTGTCTCACACCGCAGTCCCAGAGACAGCAGTGTGTGTTCAGGGAGGAGTGCTGGACTCCGGGCCCTGGAAGAGGCAGCTGTGACTTGAAGCATACCAGAGCTTCTCAGGGAAGACCTCAAGTTCCCCCCTTTGTGAAATCCTGTAGAGCAGCCTCCTGGCTCTCTCCTGTCATGAACTCTGCCCTCCAGACATGGAACTCAGCCTCCTAGGCAGCTTGGACTGAAGGCCTGAACTCGGCCTCTAATCTGAGTTCTCAGTGCACTATTGTCAGTCAAGTGTGCAGGGCTCTGTGGAGCCCAGGAAGAGAATGAGAGCCACAGGTGCCACCCTGCACACTGCCCAGCCTAAGCGCCTGCCACAGTTGACCAGCAGGTGTGATGAATCTGCCCACACTCCAAACACCGTCCACTAGAAATGGAATTTAGGGCTGCCGGGCTAGCCTGACCTTTTCTCTTCTGTTTATTAATTTTTGTTTTCCACTTTAATGCTTTTAATATTAATGGTACATGTTTGTTGGAAATGAAGTTAAAGAGACACAGAAGTATAAAAATGGCATAGTAATCACCTTGTCACCCCCACAGTGACTGATCACTTTGGCCTATTTCCTTTGTCTCTTTTGCCCTTCATTCCTGTTTTCCACAGTTCAGTGGATCCCTATGGGCCCTCAGCATGTTACCCTGAGGATCCAGGCCCCTGGACATCCAGCTGGTATCCTGGACACTTATCAAACTCAGTGCATGTTTGGGCCCAGGGAAACGATAGTCTTGTTAAGTTTTGAGATGGGGTCTTGCTAAATTGCCCAAGCTGGCAATCCTTATAATTGCTGAATTATAGGCATGGCCTCCACACCTGGTTAATTTTTTTCTTTCTTTCTTTTTTTTTTTTTTTTTTTTTTTTTGTGGTGCTGGGGATTGAACCCAGGGCCTTGTGCATGTAAGACAAGCACTCTACCAACTGAGCTATATCCCCAGCCTTGGTTAATTTTCTTCTTTAAAGATCTATTCCTTTCTGTCCAACATTACCTCATAAATCCTTTCAGGCCTAGTTTGGGTAGCACAGTTGGCTCAGTGCCTGGGAGCATGAACTACTACCAAAAAAACACAAGATAAACAGCACTGATAAGATGCATCCTAGTTTAGATTTTTTTCTTTTTCTCTTAGAAATATCACGAGAGGTAGTTCTTACATTTTCAAAGAGCCACACAATCCCCACTTTTGCTATCCTTTTCAATAGATGAGTGATGTCGAGCACTAGCCTCAAGCCTGCTGCCAGCCCTGAGACACCAGAGCCACCCTAGCAACACAGCGGGTCACAGAAGTGGGTCATTAACCCCACTCCACACAGGCTTGCAGCTTATTTAAGTGACTCAGGTCCTGGTTTGTGTCAGATGTGCCAATGTGTACTTCATACTATCAATGAAAGCTGGGTTCCTCAGAAACTCTAGAATTTAGCCCATCTTAAACTTTTATCCAAACTGGGTAGGGAAAAATATGTTTTTTAGTAAACATGTTATCATGCATGTGTTTTATTAAAATCTTTTTTTTTTATTTACCAACTGAGCTATTCCCCAACCCTTGTTTTACTAACATCTTAAACTTTACCAAGTAACTGGTTCTCCTGATATCTGGATTTGGCAGCATTAGTCTTGGAGGCCTCCAAGATTTCTGAAACCAGGCAGCAGGCCTGAAAGGACACGATACTGTTCAGCACGAAATACCACTACCATCTCACTCTGTCACAATTACAGAACTATTTCCTTATGGGTTTATTATCTTCATTGTGTCAGAATCTGTTTAATTTAGGGACCTCTGCTCTTAGGATTATTGACTAGTTACTTAAAAAAAATAGGTATTGCATTCTCCTATAGAAATTAAAACCTTTGTTGTGCCTTTAAAGCATGGGTGAGGGGTCCTCCTCCCTTACCCACCTCCCTTCTCCAGATGGGGCTCAGCCCAGCCCCAGGCTTCCTCACCCTCCTCCCACCTCGGGGGTGCTCCTCTTGGGTGCAAAGCAAAGTACTTCCCAGTTTGGAAGAGATGGTGACTATCTTAAAACTAGCTTTAGGCTGACTCTGAACTTCTGATCCTCCTGCCTCAGCCTCCTGAGACTCTGTCTCCGAATTTAAAGACAAATTAAAAAAAAAAAAAAAAGACTGGGGATGTGGCTCAGTGATTGAAAGCCCCTGGGTTCAATCCTCGGTGCCAGGTGTGTGGGGGGGTGCTCACTAGACGCAGAGCACAGTTCCTTTAATTAGACCTGCAGATTCAACGGGGAGCCCCGTGAGTGCGGTGGAGATGCGCTCTGGGGACGCGGCCCTGGGCAGCACCATGGCCAGCGCCCGCCGCTTGTCCCGGCTCTGGGCGGAGGGAGGGAGGCAGCTCACCACCCCTGGGGGCCTGAGGCCACCCGGCACAGTGCCGGAAGGGGCGGGAGACGATTTCGTCTCCTTGGCTGCCCACCCGGGTAAACAGACGACAGACACGTTGTGCAGCAAAACAGGTTTTAATGCTTCGAGCTCCCACTTCCTTCCACAGGGCTTTGTTTTAAATATAACAAAATGAGGTAAATCATGTTGGGTATGTACACGTTATGGACAGGCGCCAGGCTGCGGCGGCGACGAGAGGGCTGTTGAAGGGGTCGCCGCCGCGGGCGGCCGAGGCCAGCCCCGCAACGCGAGCGCGTCCATCGACCTGAGGAGAGTGCGCACGCGGGCGCGGGCGCTTAGAAGCATTTGCGGTGCACGATGGAGGGGCCCGCCTCGTCGTACTCCTGTTTGGTGATCCACATCTGCTGGAAGGTGGACAGCGAGGCCAGGATGGAGCCGCCGATCCACACCGAGTACTTGCGCTCAGGAGGTGCGATGATCTGCAAGAGAGCGCGTCAGGAGGGCCGTCTACCTGCCCGCGCGCCCACCCACCCACCCGGCCGGCCGCTGCTCACCTTGATCTTCATGGTGCTGGGAGCCAGGGCCGTGATCTCCTTCTGCATGCGGTCAGCGATCCCGGGGTACATGGTGGTGCCCCCCGACATGACGTTGTTGGCGTACAGGTCCTTCCTGATGTCGATGTCGCACTTCATGATGCTGTTGTAGGTGGTCTCATGGATTCCCGCCGACTCCATGCCTGGGGTCGTGGGGGACAGCGTGAGCGGCCGGGCAGGGGGCGGCGGGACCTGGGAGTTGGGGGAGGGGAAGCGGCGGGACGGTTGGGGGGCGGTGAGAGGCGGGGGGACCTCGGGCGGCGAGGTCGGGGCTCACCGATGAAGGAGGGCTGGAAGAGCGTCTCCGGGCAGCGGAAGCGCTCATTGCCGATGGTGATGACCTGCCCGTCGGGCAGCTCGTAGCTCTTCTCCAGGGAGGAGGAGGAGGCGGCAGTGGCCATCTCGTTCTCGAAGTCCAGGGCCACGTAGCACAGCTTCTCCTTGATGTCACGCACAATCTCGCGCTCAGCTGCGGGAGACAGGGGCAGCGGCGGCGGCCTCAGCACCGAGCCCCGAGGCGCGCGCGCGCGCCCGCCCACCCTCCCGTCCGGGCCGCCCAGGCTGCGCACCTGTGGTCACGAAGGAGTAGCCACGTTCCGTGAGAATCTTCATCAGGTAGTCGGTGAGGTCGCGGCCGGCCAGGTCCAGGCGCATGATCGCGTGCGGCAGGGCGTAGCCCTCATAGATGGGCACGTTATGGGTGACGCCGTCGCCGGAGTCCAGCACGATGCCTACGCCGGGATCAGGCAGCGCCTGAGCCGCAGGGCCGCGAATGCGGGCTCCGGGGGCGGGGGGCGGGGGCAGGGGCGGGGGGCGCGGGGTTGGGCACTCGAAGGGACTCACCCGTGGTCCTGCCGGAGGCGTAGAGAGAAAGCACCGCCTGGATGGCCACGTACATGGCGGGCACGTTGAAGGTCTCAAACATGATCTGGGTCATCTTCTCGCGATTGGCCTTGGGGTTCAGGGGGGCCTCTGTGAGCAGCGTGGGATGCTCCTCGGGGGCCACGCGCAGCTCGTTGTAGAAGGTGTGGTGCCAGATCTTCTCCATGTCGTCCCAGTTGGTGATGATCCCGTGTTCGATGGGGTACTTCAGAGTCAGGATGCCTCTCTTGCTCTGGGCCTCGTCGCCCACGTAGGAGTCCTTCTGACCCATGCCCACCATGACGCCCTGCCAGAGGAGAAGACACCATGCACTGGTTACCGCGGCTGGCGTCTTTAGGACCCATAGCACGCGGACCATCCCAGCTCCCTCTGGAAGAGAAGCCTGACCTGGTGGCGAGGCCGGCCCACAATGGATGGGAACACAGCCCTAGGGGCGTCATCACCGGCGAAGCCAGCTTTCACCAGGCCAGAGCCATTGTCACACACGAGGGCGGTGGTCTCATCTTCGTCGCACATGGTGTCTGGTTTCTGCAAGGTGGTGACCAACAGCAGTCACTAAGAAGCTTCTGGGGAGAAAAGGCCCTCATGCCCCAGGACCTTCCACCCCAAGGACTCAGAGACACCCCAGTGCTGAGCCTCAGTGCAGCCAGAGGAGCCCGGGGCACATGGCAGGGGCTCAGGAACTGTCCCAGAGGAAGGGCACACTGAAAAATTCTCCATGGTGGGTCCAGAGGACACTGCCCACCAGGCGCCACTGCATTCCACCTGCTCCAGGAGCTGGGCTCTAGCTCAGAGGGGTTAAAGCTGGGCTGTCTGCTCCTGGCCAGCTAGAGGGTGTAAGGATTGGCCCACAGACCAGCTTTGGTGCCCCATCTAGGGAGAGGTGGTCTGTTCTGGACACCCTGAACATTTCTGACTTAGGAGGGACACTTGCATCTGTCTGCCATCCTGAGAAAAGTGGTCCTAGCTGCCACTGGTGCTAGGTTGGGGGAGCTGGATTCAGAAAATAAAGCAGTGCTATGAATCTCCCTAAGCACATCCTAAAATTGATCTCCTCAGGTATGTCCTGAACACCAGGGAGAGCAGTCTGATTGGAGAAGTTTCCAGCTGATTGTCTTCTCCTTAAGGCCCTTGAAATGTGGAGTGCCATGGCACACGCCTGTAATCTCAACTCCCCTGGAGGCTGAGGCAGGATGGCAAGTTTGGGGCAAACTTGGGCAACATGGTAAGGCCCCATCTCAAAACATAGAGCACTTGGGACTTGAAGGAGGCACAGGGTGGCCCAGGCCTGGGGCTTGACAGCTGGCTCTGCCCTTGTCCTAGGAGTTCCCCCCAAGTTCCCACCTTGTCCTGTCCCCTTTCCCACTCCACCCTACCTGGGCGCGTGACTACACCTGCTGTTCTTCGGCTGAGGCCCTGGTTGCTCCAGGAGGGAAGCGGGCTTCACTGGGAGCTGTCCGCTGCAGTGACTGCTTGTCCCCTTGCTCAGGTTTTATATAGCCCGTGGGCGCTCCGTCCACGCCGCCCCGCAGGAATGTCGCTGCCCTTCTCAAGCCATATTTGGGTGTTGGACACTAGAGTCCCTTCCTTCAGCTGGTTCTCCGAATGGGCCCCGCCCGGATCCTCTGCACTGACCAAAGAAGGAGCAGGCTGGCCCTGGCCCAGGTAACTCGGACCAGGCCGTATATGGAGTGTCTCCCCAGCGGGCTGCCCCTCCCGACCCGCCCAGTTGCCTGCCAGAGTTGGGTGGGGCAAGGGCCCCTGCACACCCTCGGGGCTGGTTAGCACCCCTGCTCTGAAGCTGCACCTGTTTCAAGGCCTCCCTGCAGTCTACCTCACATCCACTGGGCACTCCAAAGGTGCTGACAGCTGACCTCCTGCTCCCCTCCCCTCTCAGCTCTCTCCCAGGCCCCATGCTGCTGCAGGCAGCTTCCTGAGGAGCTTGGCAGCCAGGTGGGCTCAGAGGGGAGCCCTCCAGGCAGGGAAGGAAGGGAGCCCTCCAGGAAGGGAAGGAAAGGAGCCCTCCAGGCAGGGAAGGAAGGGAGCCCTGCCAGATAACCCCCTCCCTCCCCAATCCAGAGGCTCAACCGGGACAGCCCCTCCCCACCCTGGAGGCCACCGAGGGGAGGGAGTGGGGAGGGCATGCAGCTGTTGCAATTGGCGTGCAGGGCGGAGCAGTGGAAGGAGGTGGGGCTTGGCAACAGGCCTTGAGGGAGCCGGTGGGGTGCCACAGCCCCCAGGAGCTCCTGAGGGGTGAAGGGTGGGGTGTGCACCCCCTCCTCCAGGACCCCCAACCCTGTGTGGCTGGGCTGAGCTGGCATCCACCTCCTCAGTGGCGGCTGAGTGTGTGTCCCTTTCCTGGGGCTGAAAGAAGGGTCCTAACCTGCAACTAGCTAGGCCTGGAGGTGGAAGAAGGGTCTGTGTGGGGGGAGTGTCTTCACTGAGAGGACCCATGCTGGACTCCCCCTCTCCTACAAGGGCTGAACAAACCCTTTATATTTAGAGGATGATGTCCACTGGCCAGGCTGCTCCCAGTCCACCTTGGAGTCACCACCTGCCAGAGCTGTGCTGGGGCTATTTATACCACTGATATATAGGGATCTGCCTTTTCGTTTCTAGGACTTGGATCTGCTGTGACAAGGTGAAGCAGGGTCAGCAGAGGTCATCAGTGGGAGCTTGGCTTCATTTGGTGGGGGACAAGGACAGCCCAAAAGGAAGTGTTCTGTGAAGAGCTCAGTGATGGGTGCAAGCCAGAAGGGAGGCCTTGGCTTCTGTGCAACGCAGTTCAGGCTTGGTGTGGAAGGAACAGCGAGAGTAGGAGAGTGCCCTGGTTGGGGGAGCAACCTTCCCGGAGTTGGCACAGCCATTCAGCAGTGGGAAGGCGCCGTGGAAAGCTTTCCCAATTACTCTGGAGAATGGGTGACCACATTTCACTTTTAACGCCGCGTCTGCTGGCAAGAGTAGATGGTGGCCAGAGTGCACTGTATGTACCTCTTAGGAGGATGTGCTGTTTGGGCCCTCAGCAGGGCAAGGAGTCTGAAGGGGGAGTCCCTGAAAGGCAGACACTGACAGCCGTAAAGAGAGGCCCACCTGGGGCTCCACCCATGTGACTGCTGGTTTGACAGGCTCCTGACAGTCACCCAGGCCCCCAGCCCACTCTGGTCTCTCAGTGGCCAACAGACCAGAGACTGGTGGAGGAGCACTCAGGCTCAGCCACACAGCGCAGCTCCCCTCTGCTGAGCAAGTTACTCCCACACAGGCCCCAGCTGTGGGGGAACCCAGGCCTTGCGTGTGAGGGAAGGGCTCCAACAATACCTATACTCTTGGCACTTTGAACACTTATACTTTGACAGGGGCTCACCAAGGTGCCCTGGTGGGGCTCTGGATCTTCTCCAAGGAGGAGGCAAAGGCTTCTTGAAATGAAAACCAAGGACTTCAGGAGCAGCTGTCCCCTAGAGAAGATACCTTCCCTCACAGGCTACCCATCCACAAGTGTGGGGGACCGAGGCTTCAGAAGAAAAGGCCTGGTCCTTCTGGCCTCTTCCTCTTCTATGATGGCTACCTCCAGACTGAGGATTCAAATGCAGTGGGGCCCCTCTGTGCCCCTTCCCCACACCCAGTGCACTCTGGGATCAAGCAGATCCTGATCTGCCTCCCCTGACTGCTAAGTGACCTTGGGTAAGTCATTTCTGGAAGATTCCAGCATCTGCAGCTGGATCAAAGTGTTCCTTGGGACTGAGCCAAGTTGTACTAGTGAGTGCCTGGGCCCTGGGTGTCCTTCCTCCTGTGACTGGGAGGGCTTGCGGGGGCGGGGGGGGGGAAGGGGCTGGAGAGGTCAGGGACAGCTGTAGTCACCCATGGTGGGAGGGCCAGTGCAACATTCACCGTATTTGGAGTTTGCGCAGATAATTCTAGCATTATTAAAAGTGACAAAACCCACAACCAATAAACGACCCATGTTTCAACTTTGGGAGTGCAAACTATGGCACATGCCTATGATGCCAGTGGCTCAGAAGGCTGAGGCAGGAGGATCACAAGTTCAAAGTCAGTCTCAACAATGGCAAGGTGCTAAGCAACTCAGTGAGACCCTGTCTTTATTAACTAAATAAAATACAAAATAAGGCTGGGGATGTGGCTCAGTGGTTGAGTGCTCCTGAGTTCAATACCCAGTACCACCCTCCCCCACCCCCCAAAAAAACACCCCTCTTGAGGACTAAGACATGCATTCCCAAGGGCCAAGTACACAGAGGAGAAAGTGGACCTGCAGGACTGAGTTCTCCCTGGGGTGGAGATAGCTGGAAGAACATCGAAACTGGCTCTGCAAGAGAGGTGGTATCAGGAGCAGCAGTAATGGGGACCAGGGCCACGAAGCAATGGCCAAGAGCAGAGGAGAGTTCACACCTGCTCCCACCAGAGGCCACAAAGCAGAGGGTACAGACAGTACCCAGTACCCGGCCTCCTTCCCCATGGAACCACATCCCCTTGAGGGGAGGTCTCCCAAGTGGCCCAGGTCAGCCTCAAGTCTGTGATCCTCACAACCTCCTGAGTCTCTGGGCTTCCTAGTGCTCCTGGCTCCATACACTCTAAGAAGTATTTCAGTTTCTTCTGGCTGGAGTATTACAGGGGTTTATGGGTTGGATGTGAGGTGTCCCCCAAAAGCTCCTGTTAATGCCAAAATGTTCAGAGGTGAAGTGATTAGATCCTGAGCTGTCACCTATCTGCCCTTGCCAGTCTGAATGGATGGACTAGGTGGTGACCACAGGCAAGCGGTCATGGCTGGAGATGGGCACTGGGGTTGCCATGAAGGATGCATCTTCCCTGGGCCCACCCCTGCCCACCTCTTCCCTCAGCCACACCACTCCTCTCCTCCCAGCGACCAAGGAATAAATCTCTGAAACCTTGAGCCAAAATACTCTTCTTCCCTTTGTTGTTCTTGGGTATTTGGTCACAGTGATGGAAAGGTGATGGACACAGAATCTGTCTCCTCCTTACTTTTAACTTTTTATTTGTGTGTGTGAGGAGGTACTGGGAATCAAACTTAGGAGTGTTCTACCTCTGAGCCACATCTCCAGTCCCTTTTTTCCCAAATGTGTTTTCTTTCTTTCTTCACATACCTTTCCTAAATATAGGCTTTCCCCTCCTCAAGTACTTACTGGGCACCTGGCATCTGGTGAGCGCGCTGTTCACACGCGGCAGGCACTCAGGGTCTCAATAGCATAGGAAGAGAGCTCCTCAGAAGGCCCCAGTGTGCTCAGAAGGTGCAGGAGGCCTGGGATCCAGACCCAGCTCCAGGCTTCAGGCAGCTCCTCCACTTAGGGCCCAGCTTGTCTGCCTGTCCTGGACCCCCTCACAGACCCCCAAGGCTAGCTGCTGGGGTCACTGCTGCCACCCGAGGCCCCCAGTAGGCCTTGATAGCGTGTATAAGGCGGGCTAACACCCTCTACAGGATATGGGTCGCACTCAAGAGTCATCGTCTGTTACTTGATTTACCCAAAATCATTAATGATAAAGAGTAATATGGAGCAATTCTAAAAGCAAGGCAGAAAAATGTATTTAAAACCATGTCTCAATTCCAACTTTACTGTTCTGGAGCTGTGAAGCCCAGACAGCCAGGAAGCAGCCTCCCTCCCTGCCAGGAAGGCCACACCTCACTACAGAACCCTGGGGCCTGGGCATCGGCCTGGCTTCAGGTGAAACCCTTGCCTCACACAGGGGATGACTGTGGTGGCAGATGGAGGTGGAAGGAGCCCATGTCCCCGGAGCACTGTGTCATCACAGTTAATGTCGTGTGAACTGAAGTTTGGTCTTCTAGCCACTGACCTGTGACGGTACCTCCAACAAGCTCCTGACCTGGCTCTGACACAGGGTCGCCAAGTTCCTTCCCAACAAGCAATGGGCGAGAGAGGGACCGCCAACTGGGCTCTGCACCACATTTGACTTCTGACCTTCTCAGCTGTCGGGCAAGCAGCTAGTGAGACTCGCCTGGCCAAGAGTGGTTGGCCAGCAATGCCTGCTATTCTGCTTTTATCTAAAGCCAGACAATGCCCAGTGACAACTGGTTATGTCAGAGAGCTTGGAGAAACAAACCCCAGGGGTCTCCAGCATGGTGAATGGTGGTGATGAGGGCAACCACGGTGAGGACTGAAGAAACGCCACTAGCACCAGACTACCACCCACAGCGACAGCGGGGGTGGGGTGTCAGAAGACAACACCAACTGAAACTCATTCATTTATGTGCAAGTTAAAAATGCTCCCAGTGACTTAATCAGTTATCAAACTTGTGGGAAGCCATTCTCGCACGTGATTGGGCACCTCCCAGATTGGGTGTGAGGTGTTCTGGCCAAACTGTGTCGGAGCTATCCCCACCCTCTCCAGGTGCGAAGCCTGTCCGTGTGGGGGGTGTGACTGACCACTGATCCTGAGGCCAATCACCGACCCTGACCTTGGAATGCTGCCCCCCTCGACCTTCATTGGATGGAATTTTCCCCTGAATTTCTTGTTCCCCAATAAAAGGCCACTCCCTGGCATGCTCTCTCTCTCCTGCTAGTCCTGAGTAAGCCTTGCTGCCCCACCAGGTGGTTCGAGGGGAGAGCTGTCTCAGACCTGGTCATAGAAAAAGGTAATTGAGTCTGTGTGTGTTTATTTTGATCTCACTAGTTAATTTCTATGCCATGAACCTCTTTAATGAAACCAGCATGCTGGTTGCCTGATGGACAAACTCACATGACTTAGACCCATTGTTTTTTTGCTTTTAATTCTGTTAAGTCAGTAAAATATGACATTTATCTTGCTAGACAGGTATTTCCCACTAGTCCCAAACAAAATAGAAGTCAAACACCCCAGATCCTCTCCAGTGTCATAAACATCAGAGATACTCTAGGGCCCTCCTCACTTTTAAGGGTCATGGACCCCGAGGCCTAGAAGTGATGTGTGCACGTGCAGCCAGAACAAGGATGAGAGCCACAAAACTCACTGGACCACGTTACAGAGAACAGAGAGGGTCAGCTGGGCATGGTGGCCTATGATCCCAGCACCTCAGGGACTGAGGCAGGATGACAACAAACCCAGGCAACTTAGGGAAACCCCATCTCAAAATTTTAAATAATTAAGAAAATAAAAAAGGCTGGAGATGTAGCTTGGTGGTATAGCATCCCTGCATTCAACCTCCAGTACCACAAAATAATGAAGAGAAAGGGCAGTAAGTGCACAGACAACTGATAAAGCCAAAATCACAGTACAGCAAATTATATCAGCTTCCAAATACAGCACAGAGAAAGTTCTGCTGCACGTGCTACCATAGTGCACAAGCTCCCCAGTGTTTAAGGCCTCAAATTTTATAAGGACACATTTGTACAGATCTTAGAAAGTGACCAGTTGTAGAACACTTTACATTTGTCCCTGGACGTAATATTCATAATTTGCTTTCAAAACAAACTCAAAGTACGGGTTGGACTTGAGGCTTCCCAGCTGGTCTGCCTGCAGCAGGCCTTGCACCTCTGGCAGGTACTCACTGAGCCGGACGCCTGTGGACAAGCACAAAAGCACTTTTACTGTACAGAACTCTCCAGCACATTGGACCCATGCCTGTGCGAGCTGCCTCCCGCCCCCCACCTCCCAGCAAGTAGGCTGGCAGAGCTGCCCCCCTGAGGTCTCTTCTGCAGGTGGACAGCGCCTCCTTGCAAGCTTCAGCAGATGTGGAGTCCTACACTTTCCCACAGTGTAGGTCACACTTAACAATCACTTGAAAACAACATTGAGTAGTTTCTTCCCCAGCTGGGAAACCCTTTGGCAGAGAGGCTGTCAACAGCACTGGCATGGTGCCTCAGGGGTAACGACTGAGGTCTGACCAGCAGGCAGCACAGCCTGTCGGCCCACAGAGGCCACTCCAAGGAGCACCAGCCAGATAGGCCAGGCAAGGTGAGGTCTCCATGGGTACAAGAAAGCATGAGAAATTTCTTCATTTGACAAGTGAAGAAAATGAACCAAAATTTTAAATTAATAAGACTAAGATATAATTTGTTACATCACCATAAGTTCTGAAAACCAAGTTTTGGTTTTAAAAACAAAGTACTCCCAGTGTCTAGCACCATTTTTTTGTATTTCTCACAGAATGAAAATCTGGATTAATAAATGTTAGAGGCTAAATCTGAAATGTGTATATTACTTACTGCCATTAACACACTTTTAGCCAAAACCTTTTCCTCTGTAAAGTACTATTACTCTTGAGAAGATACCACCTGGGTGTCAGAAGGTCAGCCTCCAGAAAAGCCCACCTTGCATCTGGCTTTAGGGCACGAGGCCCATCCTCCTCCAGGGAAGGGGTTCAGGAGGCTGCACACCTCCCTCCCCATGATTGTGACCAAGCCAACCCTTGGCCTGCGGAATACAGCCTTCAATCTTCAAGAGAAGTCAGGAAACAACACTGATAAGTACCCCCAATGAGCAGGTGTTGGCAGCTGCCTAAAAAAAAAAAACCCCAGTGCTCCCAGGGGACATGGCATCTCACTCCACAAGGCAAGGTGCTTTGTCACAGGGTCACTTTCTTGTCTGTAGAATGAACTCAGCCATAGGTTGCAGCCACCCTGGACCCCCAGAGCCCACATTACAGTGTCAGTTCACATTGGAACCTGTTCTTATATGACAGCCCTGTGTGGAAAGGGCCCCAAAGGTAGGATGGCTACATGCCCCTCTAAGTTATAGGAGCTTCTCCTGGTGTCCGTCTGTGTACAAAACTCAACAATTCTGTGTAGAATCAGGACTTTCTGTTCTTGCTCTCTCTCTGTTCCATCATTTACTGAGGGTGGGTGCTGAGCACCAAAAACTAAGCTCTACATATGTCCGTGAGCACCTGCTCACAAGGCTGGGCCCTCCCAACACTTATCTGCTCAGCTAGAGCCTCTGCAAGTGCAGATAGCCGTCATGTCCAGTGTCTTCCTAACTCCAAACACAGAGAGAAAAAAGGCTTACAGACACAGATTAGCTCTCATGAACTTCCAGCAAAAGGCTCTGCAGCTCAGAACACTGGATGTGGGGCCTGGTGCTTCTCTGGGGTCCCTTCTTTATGTGGCTAAGCCAGAGACCCTGGCCTGTGGAAATGCCACACAGGACAGAGGCATAGCAGGAGGACCTGGTCTAGAGGAGCTGGGCACACTGATGTGCTTGTGATTCTACATTTAACAACCAACATTCTCTGAGCGACTCCCACATGCCAGACAGCAGGCCAGGGGTGTTGTGTGAGAATGCACCATGTATTTTGCAGGTTTGTGCTCTTAAGTGTCCAGTGCATGGATGTGTTGACCTGACGAACAGTTCTTTCATTCAGGAGGGCCCTGGGCTTGCTATCATACACCCCTCCCAATGATGATGAAGGAGTGTCTCTGCCTGGAGCTCAGTCTGTTCTGCACACTGCCTGGATTCTGGCACCCCACACCCTGACTTCATGACTCCACAATAAACATGAGTCATATTTGTTTTCATGTATAAAATGTGCAGTCTCTCATCTTTTGTCCAATATTCTGAATATTTTCTGCTCCTGGAACATGAAAGGCAGTTTATAAAAGCTTGTTTTCTCAAATTCACCTTTCCCTCAAGAATGAACACTGTATCTGAAACAGCCTATTCACCTATTTATCACCAAATGAAATTTTGCTTACTGCCTTCAGCACAAAACACACACATAAAACACATTACTCTCTTGTTTGTAAGTGAATCCTAGTCTTAAATGGATTTGTACAAATATCTTCTAGTTTGTTCTTAAGTACAGTATGGTCAGTGACCCCTCATAGCTCATTTCACCCTATAGCTCATAATACACCCCAGAGCTCATAGCTAATTAGAAACCTTCAGCCTTCACAAAAGTTAAATGAAAAATCAAGGGAACTCTTACTGCCATCAGTTACAGGTTTGGGGAGTCACAACAGTGGTGGCCATGGTGTCCCTCCTACATCACTACTTTGCTTTTCTTGCTACACTCTCAGCCCCTTTCACTTTTTACTTGAGATAGGATCTCACTAAGTTGCCCAGGTTGGCCTCAAATTTGTGATCCTTCTGTCTGAGCCTACTGAGTTGCTGGGATTACAGTGCATGCCACTGCACTCGGCTGAAATTGCTTTATCTTAAATCCACTGTCATTTGACATCTTGACAAATACCCACTATCCAAAGACTTGTAAACTGAGAAGTGACTCTGTGATTTTTTTTTTTTTTTTTGATACCAGGGATTGAACCCAGGGGTGCTTCACCTCTGAGCCACATTCCCAGCCCTTTTTATTTTGAGACAGGGTTGCTAAGTTACCTAGGGCCATGCTAAATTGCTGAGGCTGGCTTTTAATTTGTGGTTCTCCTGCCTCAGCCTCATGAGCCACTAGGATAACAGGCATGCGCTACCATGCCTGGCTGATACTATAATTTCTTTTCTCTTTAACACAATACCGTTGTTTTATGTATTTATTTTTACGTGGTGCTGAGGATTGAACCCAGTGCCTTACATGTGCCAGGCAAGTGCTCCACCACTGAGCGAAAAACCCAGCTCCTGATACTGTGATTTCTAATAGTAACAAAATGCTTACCATCTTTTAAAAGTTTCTGCAGGATTTTCACAAAGACACTGTCTTTAGACACTTCGATTGGATCATCTTTACCATCTGAACTGGACCAGCTAGAAAACAAAAACACATGAAGGAAATAGCACCATCACTCTTGTGGTCCCATCTGGATGCAATGGGGATGGATAGCGCTCTCTGTGATGGTGGTCAAAGCTGAACGACAGGCCTGCAGTGTGGACATGCTCCCAGCCACCACCGACCTGACTTCCAGACGCAGGAGGAACCTCAGACAGCATATACCAGTGCATGGGTACGGTTATGAATTCAAGCCTGTCTCACACTGCCTGGGTGGCAGAAGGGAGCTCCTCTTCTAGGGGCTCACATGGCCCTGCTCTGAAGTGCTCAACACGCAAGCCACCAAACACCAGCACCAACTAGAAGCAGGACAAGGCTCCTTTTGGTTGCCTGGGATAGGACAATAAACTGAGGGCCATACAGTGGGTGCTTGAGCATCCCAACAAAGCTCCTCAGGGACCCGGCTGCCACCTCCCAGGTCCACACCTGGGCCCAGCTCCCCTGGGGCTCATGTCTGACCAGGAATGCCAGGGGTGGAAATCCCCCTCTGCACAGACAAGAGGGCTGTGGCCTCCCAGACTGTCTCAAGCAAGCAGGTCACATTCTGTGGCAGCATTGCAAGCAGCAAACTGCGTGAGCACTTCCTGCTGTTGAGCACCGGCACTCGGCGAGGAACAGCTGGACCAGGCACGTACTCGTCCCTCTGCAGGGCTCTGCAGAGGATTTCCAGCTTCAGGTCGTCAATGTTCACATCTTCATCCTTCACAGCAAAACAAAGCATCCTGGTTAAATTCTGGCTGTCACAAAGAAAAAGTCTTCAATTTTATTTATGTCAACTCCTAATCCTGCATAAATAGTGTCTTTGCTTTTAATATTGACACTATAGTTTATCATTTTTAAAAACTCCTTTTAAGACATTAGTACTGTTTAGAAAGGGAAGCCAACTGCCCTATGAAAGTTAGCTTTGGATCACTACACTCCAGGTCATCAAGAACTGCAAGAGATAGATTCTTTTTTTTTTTTTCCTTTCTTTTTTTTTTTTTTTTTTTTTACAGTGCTAGGGATTGAACCCAGGGCTTTGTGCATGTGAGGAAAGCAATCCACCAACTGAGCTAAATCCCCAGCCTCAGGTTAAGGTTATTAAATGAGGTTGTACAAAAGCTAACCTTGGGGGATTGGGGCTATAGCTCAGTTGGTAGAGTGCTTGCCCAGCATATGTGAGACACTGAGTTTGATCCTCAGTACCATATAAAAATAAAATAAAGATATTGTGTCCATTTACTATAAAAAATATTTTTAAAAAGCTAACCTTGGGGGCTGGGGCTGTAGCTCAGTGGTAGAGCACTTGCCTAGCACCTGTGAGGCACTGGGTTTGATCCTCAGTACCACATATGAATGAGCAAAATAAAGGTGCACTGACAACTAAAAAAGTGTTTGGAGAAAAAAAAAAAAGCTAACCTTGGGTTTTTAAAATCCACCAAACAACTCCCATTCACCCTGCCCTAACAGAAGGCCTTCCTACAGAGCAGCACAATCTTTTGAAAGTGAGAACACTCCCCTTAAGGTGAGCGCTGTGAGGAAAATACCTCAGAATGCTGAAAAGCTGCCGTTATCTATCTGTGCACTAGAACATGAGAGTTACCAGGAACCAGAGTCCCATGGCAGCTCTGCTACAGGCTGCGGCCTGAGAGCCTGGGCAACTGCCTCACCTCTTCGATATACTCGAGCAAGTCCAGAGCCTTCTTGAAATCATACTCGTTGGCTCTTCTGTTTTCTTCACAGATGTACAGCTGCAACGAATTACACGAGGCAGGTCATTCTCAGCTATCAGCATAATGCCAGAGAACTTGGGAGAAGCCACTCTGTCCTAGAGTGAGCTAGAGGCTTTTAAGGCCAAGAACCATGACCCAGGTGGAGGCCAGGGAGCTACACCACAGCAGGCTGGCCTGGTGGGAGGTGTGTGTGGGGTGCTGGTCTTCTCAGGAGGAAAGAGCACTGGCCAGCTTGCCCATACAACCCCCTCCCAGCCATACCCTCGGGAACACTTGGTTCCCAGGAAAGAGGCATGGGCGGCACCCATGGACCATACAAATCCTTTTCTGAACCATTTTGCTACGGAAGACTGAAGAGTGACATTCTAGAGGAAATATCTGAAGACTGAAGAGTGACATTGTGGAGGAAATATCAGTTGCACAGTGCACTCTTCCTGTACCAGGAAAGTGAACTACAGGTGATTCCTCCTGGTCACGAGAGGTGGATCTGGAGGGCCAGGGGAGCAGCCCGGGGAGGTGGAGACTGGCCAGCCAGCACACACTGGGGTGTTGTGAGCACGGGAGCAGGAGGTGCAACACCTACACTGATGAGCTGTGGAGCTGTCAGCACGGGCATGGCACCGAGGCGCAGCTGTCTCTCTGCCAGAAGCTGCTCAGGCAGGGTCTCCTGGTGCAGCAGGAAGCGCTCCTGCTCAGCCATTGCTGGTGTTCAAGGACAGAGAGGGAGAAAGATGAGACTTTCAAATCTGCAGTCACAAAGCAAAACCGAGTTATGATGACAGAGAGCTCTAGTGCCACGGCATTGCTACATCACAGAACTGCTGCATAATGACCTCAGGATGCCACCAGCACTGCTTCCTCCTGGCTGCTTCAAGAGGGGCAGGGCCCAGACTCTAGCCCCAGTGTGGTCCAGCCTCATCCACACAGGGGAATGGGGCAAAGCCACCAGGGCACAAGAGAAGAGCAGTGCCTGCACAGACATGCGGCCAGTCTACTGGCCAGCACACAAAGCCTCTGCGTGCGCAGACTCTCTGGGCTGCTGGGCAGGTACTGCTGTGCAGTCAAAGTACCTGCAGCACCACACACACTCAGTTTTTTAAAAAGTCAGCATGTTTGTGCACTTCCATACCTAGAAAAGCAGATCCAGAGGGTAGCTCAGGGAACTTGGACCTATTTCAACACAACTTATTTGGTGTGTTTTTTCCTAAAATTTACAGATTTCTCATATGGTTATTTATTTTCCCATATAGTTATTCATATAACTTTAAAGTCATGACAACAGTCTGCAGGGAATCCATCCGAGAGACCTGAAAATAACCACTTGTGCAGACCTCAGTCTGTCCACACCGCAGAGCTCCTCCTCCAGGCCTATTTATTTCACTCCTTGCATGTGTGTGACAGTGGTGCTGGGAACTTAGATTGGAACCTTGCACGTGCCAGGCAGGCCCTCTACTACTGAGCTACACACATTCCCAGCCCCCTTCAATTTTTATTTTGAGAAAATTACAAATCTGTAGCTTCTGCGGGACCTGGCATGTCTCTGGGCATTCTGCCTGGCCTGCTGCTGGACAGTCTGACTACACATGTCCCCCTCTCATGGAGGGTGCAGTTGTCATGGCACGCCACGTCCACAACTTCAGCAGGTACCACCCGATCACCATGGTTCAGAGTCAAGCTCACAGAGTGGACACAGCATGCTACAGTCACCTAGTATTAAACACATCCAGGCTCTCTCAGTGGTTCCCAAATCAGAGGTGTGACCTAAGAGCCAATTACAATTCTGGGTGATGGCTTTTGGGTTCCTATAATCTAGGGCTGCCTGTCTTTTGCATTGCTGAAATGTTAAATGTCCAGCTGAGTACGCTGTAAAATGTTCTGCCCTTGAGGCATACTTGCTGCCCCCTTGTGACCAGATTCAGGATGAACACTTCAGGCAGGTGACAGCAGGCACCACCTGTCACACCACCCCAGGAAGCGTGGGATGTGGGCTGTGTCTGATCTGTGTACCAACACTCTGACATGGGATGTGGGCTGTGTCTGATCTGTGTACCAACACTCTGAAAACCTGGGAACACCTTTTACCAGACCCTGAACTGAATGGGCCTGCCACCTTTTTGAGATGGGGGCCTTGCTAAGTTGCCCAGGATGGTCTTGAATTTGCTCCTGCCTTCGCCTCCAGAGCTGGTGGGACTGTAGACATGTGCAACAGCACCCGACTAATTCTAGTATCTTTTGGTGACCCGTCATTCACTATAATTGCAAAGTGGTGACATCAACCACCCTGTCCATATTAGCTGTCAATCATTTCTAAAGAAGCATTTTACTGACCCTCCCCTTTTCGGGAATACTGTGTATTCATGGACTTTTACCTTCTTTTTACACACACACACTCTTTTAATTAATTAATTAGAGACAGTGCCCTAAGTTGCTAAAGCTGGCCTCAAACTTGTGGTCCTCCTGCCTCATCCTCCTAAATTTCTGGGATTATGGGCATGTGCCACCATGTCCAGCCCTGGCTTTTCTTTCATAAACTGTGACATGCAATCCTTCACCATCACTCTTGACACTCAGAAGGACCTACTCAAGGCTCTTGTACTTTCTGACTCAGCAGAACCCTCCTAGGTCACCTGGTCAACAGCCCCGTTTCTTCTCACTGGAAACTGGAAGAGACACCAGACTGCACAGGGCTCATGGCATGGGATGGTGTGGGGCCCTCAGACAAGACCCCACCTGAGATCTGCAATTTGAATATGTAACAGTTCTCTTTCATTTCACACTTGTGACTCCCTTCTTGGTTCTCAAAAACAAAACAGTATTTCCTCACTTCATCTACAAAACAGCTTCAGAACTGCACCAACAGCATGGCCTACGAGAAGCCCCATGTGAAGCCTGGGCTCTCTCTGCAGTCCTATCTTAGAGTACTTTTGCCAAGCGTGCATAACTAGCCCTCCAGTCATGCTCACTTGAACTTACATGCATGCGTGTGTGTGTGTGTGTGTGTGTGTGTGTGTATACTTTTTTTGTATCAGGAATTGAATCCAGGAATTAAAGGGTGCTTAACCACTAAGCCTTATCCCCATCCTTTTTTTAATATTTTTATTTAGAGACAGGGTTTCACTGAACCATCTAGGGCCTTGCTAAATTACTGAGGCTGGCTTTGAACTTGGGATCATCCTGCTTCAACCTCCCAAACTGCTGGGATTACAGGTGTGTGCCATTCTTCCCGACTTTTTATTCTTTAGGAATTCTGGCTTAAAATATAAATTCTTTCCAAAGAATAAGGATTTCAAGCACATAACCAAGTAACTGCAGGAATGTGGAGTACACAGAGCCTTGTATGAGAGAGGGCTACGCGAACTCCAGGCTCTAAGCAACAGTGTGACCTTTACATGGCTCTCCTCCTGTTTCTTTTTTACCTTCAATTTTTTCTTGCAGTACATCCTCTGAAAGGTCTGAAGCTAATGCAGCCAATTTACTCAAGCCAAGAAGTGTTTTTTTCTTGGCAAAATAACGAGTCTCCATATTTGCCAAACCCAGAAGCGTTGCATGAGCCTACAATAAACCATAAGAAGCACGGTAAGGTCCTGGTGCCGACCCAACTGGGAAGCAGGGCTCAGCACATCCCGAATGCAGCCTCCCCTGAGCGAGCCCACGATGGCACACCAGCAACCGGCACAGCCAGCCTGCTTGGAGCCGCAGTCTCAACTAGGCAGGCCGCCAGGTACCTGCGGGGGGAGTGCTTTACTCAACCAACTGGAATGAGCTAGCTCTGAGAACATGCTCATTACAATAAAGGGCAACGACCGCTCCAGACATTACTCTATTGTACCAGTAGCCAAAGCACAACAGCTCACTTTTTTTTTGAGGTATTAGAAGTAATGACAGAGTCATCATAAATCGAGAATGCCAGATTTATCAAATTATTCCAGAGTGAGAGGATTTAATAACCTGTAACTACTACCTTCTAAATTTGTAAACATTGTTTATTATAAGTTGACAAAAACAAGCACATACATTTATGGAGTGCAAAATGAGGTTATAACACACCCATAAAATGTGGAACTCTTAAATCAGGCCAATGAATAGCTCTCTTACTCAAGGACTTATTTTCCATGGTAAGAATACTTGAAGTCTACTCCCTGAGTGCATGCACCGCCATCAACTGGCAGCATGCAAGCAGCACCTTTCCTTCCTGGGCTGCAGCTGGCATGGTGGCCGCGGCCCTCTGTCCCTCACCTCAGCCTCTGATGCTGTCTGCTCTCTGCTTGAGTGGCTCCGTGCCAGACCCTTTGGATGGGAGACTACGGTACTCATCACTCTAGTCCCAGCTTATTCCACTGAGCAACAGGTCCTCTAGGGTCACCCATGCTGTAGCCAATGGTAGATTTCTTTCTAAAGCTGAGTGCCGCGCCACCATGCAGGTGCCTGTCATTCACCCACGTGGATGCAGCTGATCCTTCAACTTGGCCGCTCTACAGTCAGTGTTGCTATAACCACACAGTGCACAGGTGTGGGTGGCACACTGATGTCACACTGTCTGGGGACACCCAGAAGTCAGCAGCAGGATGTGTGGCCGCTGCTGATCTCTGAGCAGCCCCAGCACGAGCCCCACTGGCTGCACTGGGGGACGCTCCCATTGAGACCAGGCAGAGGTTCCCTCTGTTGCCTCTTTCCCAGCACCGCTCTCCTGTTGTGCTGAGGATGCTGCTCTGTAAGGCATGCACTGGCCTGCGGGACTGTCCTGTACTTGCTGTGGTGACACCCAGCGTGCCCCTCTGTGGCATCCATACCACTTCTCTCCAGAAATGTCTACTTAGGTCTTCTGCCCATTTTTAAGTTGAGTTCCTTGTTCTCTTGCCTTTGAGTTCCTTGTATATGTCTTAGACACTAACCCCTTCTCAGGCACACGCCATAAATAGTGGTTGAATTACTAAAACCAAATGAATTCAAAACACACCAACAGCTACATGTACCCATTTTACACAACTGGGTCCTTCTTACCTTTTCCAGCTCTTGGCTATTAACCTCGTGTAGCCAGCTGAGATGTTCATGAGCTTGCAAAAAACTTGCCAACTGTCCATGTTGAGAAACAGGCTGAGACAACAACTTGCCCCGCTTTCCTTTCTCCAGATACCAACGGAAGAGAAAGTCTGAAAAATTCTACAAGATCACAGAGGCGAGAACCCATTACTGCTTGTCAGTGCAGCTTTAAGACACTCTATCATGACAACAAAATGCTAAGCAGCTTTCAAAGTCCCAAGTAGGTTCTCCTTTTAAGCAATAATTTCCTATGCTGTTACTACGTTGATACGTATTCCTACGATGACAGTGACTTTCCTGTTTGCCTAATTCAATCATCTCACTGGACAAGCCTGTAGGTTCAGGTTCAGAAGGAACCTCATTTCATGATCACTGGCTTTGCTACTGGCAGAATCTGAATGTGCACAAGTTGGTGAGGGAGCTGCCAGCCATGGGTAGTATTTAAATTTAATTAATGTTAAACTTCAGTTCCTCAGGCATCGGTCAAGAGCCTTAGCAGTCAACAGCCACGTGTGTCCAGCTGCTCTCTCTTGGACAACGGATATAAACATGATCTCCACCATCACAGAGCATTCTCCTGGAAAGCATGGGACTGTGCCATCCACAGCAAGGCCTCGCAGGCAGTGCCACATGGACAGCCACGGGGGCTGGCATGGTGAGTGGGAATCCAGGCAGGCCCCCAGGAACCTTGTGCTGGGCTCTCGAATGCAGTGCACACGGACTGGAAGACCAGGGAGAATTGGTGAGAGAGCCCTGGCCATCTCCCTGCCGGTTCTGCCACACTCAGCCTCGAACTGCAACTGTAGAAGGAAAGGGCTGTCCCAGGAGAAGACACTCATCCCACCACACTGCTCTCTCACCAAAGTCCACGCCACAACTAGAAACCACAAGACCAAAGAGGAAGAAGAGCCTGACTAAGCAGCAACACAGAAAGCAGGCAGCTGAGGCTGACCCAAGAGTGAGCAGGCTGTGAAGTCAGCACGGCTTGAAGATAATCACGGAACACATTAAAGGAAATGTATACGCAGAGGGAAAACGCCCATAGATGACTGGAATCCATAATAAGAATTTAAAAGTCACAATGGGTGGAAAGCACACAGTTCAGCACTACTGTGAAATTCTGTACACATCATACCCCACAGCTGGGCCCTGACCACACAAGGAGCCAGTGAGGTCCCACAACACCCCTATAGATGCTGCTATGGGCACAGGACGCACAGCACTTGTTTGGGTTGCACTAGCACAGGTGCTGCTGTGGAAAATGATGGCACCCACCAAGGCCCCAGGGACAGATGGAAGAGAGCAGCCTGACCATAAGGTGGCCCACCACCCACCATGTCCAGCACCTTACCTGATCAGCAAACTGAGTCATGTAGCGCTGGAGCCTGCTCTGGTTGTCAGTCTGCTCACACAACTGTACTAAGATGTCAAAGTCACAGTACTTCTCTGCTAGAGAAGCAGCCCATGAGTACTGGCCCAGCGTGACTGAAAATGAGAACAGAAGAAAGAAATCCTGTTAGTAAACATTAAAGACATAGTGAAAACAGTACTTGAAACTTCTCTGTGTTCATACTGCACACTAAGAATAACCAAGGGGACGAGGACCTTTTTGGCTGCTGACACTGGTTTCCCAATCCACATGCACTGCCAAAGTGAAGACACAGTCCACTGCCTCCCTCCAGCCTCCAGACACGATGCTGTCACCCACATCCGGGCCAGAACGCCTGGCCCTCAGCTCCACAGCATGCCTGCCTGGCCCTCCCCAACCATGCCACACTCTGCTGTGAGGCTGCTCCTGCAATGCTCGAGAACTGGGCTCTTGAGGTCACTGTTTAATCAATTGCCCTCTTGGTCTGTCCCTTGGGTCTTGGGGTGGGTGCCATCTTTTTGTGTCCATAGCAGCATCTGTATGTACTTGGTGTAGCCCAAGCAGGTGCTGTGCCTGAAGAAGGCTGACTAAACACACAGGGACAGCCGTAGTGTCTGCTACACTCCAAATTCTTGGTTAGGGCGGGGAAGACACCACCACGCTGGCCAGGCTGCACATCCACTGCTGGACACCTATAAAAGCTTAAATTGGGCAGCAAAGAAAAGGAAAGACCCTCGGTACTTTTGGTTTTAGTTGCTCAATTTAGGTTTTCACAGGTGTCCCATATGGAGGCACAGGGACATATGGGTGTCTGACCCCTCCTTTGGTCCTGCACACTCAGACCCAGAGCCTCCACAAAGCACCCTGCACTCACGTAGAGGAGACAAGAGGTCTGAGCGTCTCTGTAGGTACTCCATTTCCAGGCTGTTATATCTCTCCTGGTCACTGGACCTATCCAGAGACTTCAGCTGTGAAACATAGCCATCTAGGAAGCAATCAATCAGTGCAACCAGTTGCTCCATTAGGATGTTGCGGAGGTTGCTGTCCGCCTGCGGGTAGACAATCTTCAGGATGATCCCGTGCTGGCGCACGATAGTGGTTCGAATGCCAGCGGGCCCACTTGTTGCTGTGAAGTCACAAAGAGTTGTTGGCTGTCAGGGTTTCCCAGTGGCTGAGGGAAAATCAGCTGTCTAAAGCCCACGTGACATCACCGCTACAGGGAAGCATGTTTGTGTGCAGGTGACACTGGCCTGTACCCTGCATGAGCCACATTCCCTGTGGAGCTCCCCTCAGCAGTCAGGCAAATTGCACCTTCTTCTTTCTAAACTCTGACAAAGCTTCGGCACCTCCTTTGTGGTGCTAGGTCAACGTAACATACAGCCCATTGCGAGGCCTGCTTTTGGGAGCAGCTACTTGTACTGAGATACCAGTGGTATCTACTACTTGCAGTAGATGCACAATGAGTACCAGTTAAAGCAAATGCTGGGGGAGTCTACAAGTGCATGAGAAGGAATGAGTAGCAGACCAGCACTGCTCATGCTGGAGGTGGCACTGGGGTTTATTCATGCCACTCACAAAACTGTGCTCAGACATAGCTGCCAGCAGGTCGGGCTGTCAGGAGCACACTGAGCAGGCGCACCACCTGCTGTAGGGCACATGTGGCTTCTGCTCCTACAGACCTGCTCTGGGGACAACGGGCTGTAAGGAACACCCTGTGAACAACAGTGTTCTACCTGTCCAAGGGACATATTCCGGTTCTTTTCCTCCTGCGTCTTCTCTCTTGTAAAAGGAGCTTCGATTTTGGCGATAATGACTAGCAGCCTGCAGCATGTCCTGGAAAAACGAGACATATTATCACAGTCAGAAGTGACATATCTGTTTTCCTTTTCTTTTTTTGTGGTGCTGGGGCTTGAACCAGGGCCTCACACATGGCGAGCAAGTGCTCTACCACTAAGACACAGTGCAGTCCAGATTGATGAGCTTCAGAAGGTGATCTGAAACACCAAAGTCTATTCTCAGGCCAGATGCGGTGGCCACAACTGCAATCCCAGTGACTCAGAAAGTAGAGGCAGGAGGATCACAAGTTCAAGGTTAGCTTTGGTAACTCAGCAAGACTCTCAGTCTCGAAAATATATAAATTTAGGGCTGGGTTGTGGCTCAGTGGTACAAGCGCTAGCCTCGCATGTGCGAGGTCCTGGGTTCGAACCTCAGCACCACATAGAAATAAATAAAATAAAGGTATTGTGTCCAGCTACCACTAAAAAATAAATATAAACAAATACATAAATTAATTTTAAAAACCCTGTCTAACATAAAAAAGGGCTGGGGATGTTCAGAGGTAAACCACAGAATTCCATCCCTAGTACTGCAAAAACAATACATACTCAGCACTTATGAGTTCTTTCTGCATTTTTTTTTTTTTTTTTTTTTTTGTACCAGGGAACCTGAATTTGTGATCCTCTTGCCTCAGCCTCCTGAGCCGCTGGTGTGTGCCACCATGCCCGGCCTCTGCCCTTTTATTGTGGACTGAACTCAGGGTATCATGCATGCTAGGCAAGTGCTCTACCACTGAGCCACACTCCTAGCCTTTTTTTCTCTTTGAGATGATCTTGCTAAGTCAATTACAACAGAGCAGGGACAAGGAAACCACCTTCTTGTCTTTCCCTCTCAGCTCTGGGCCACTGATGCTGGTGTAGCTGGGCCTACCTTGAGAACAGTGTTGACGTCAATGGCCACCTCTGCCCACTCGAGAGAGTCCAGCGCCATGTCCCTCAGGACCTGTTCCTCGTGCTCCAGCAGACATTCGCAGATGGTATCCACCTGGGACACCTGAGGGTAGAGTCACTGCTTAGTACAAAGTCATGGAGGCATGGGGACAGCTGTGCCATAGCCTCAGTCTCCAAGGCACATCCTCAGATCATTAGACAGGAGAAAACTTACGATCCAATAATATGGGACACAAAGTTGAGAAACAAGGAAATTAGAATCTCCCAAATTTTAAGAGTGTCCAAGCTTGTGCTGTGGCACGTGCCTGTAATCCCAGCGGCTGGGGAGGCTGAGGCCCCAAAGCAACTTGGTGAGACCCTGTCTCAAAGGACTGGGGATGCAGATCAGTGGTAAATGCCCCAGGTTAAATCCTCATTACCAACAAGAAGAGCCATGGAATCACCAAGTCTTATAAACAGTGAAACCTGGATTGCTACCAAGTAGATTTTTAAATTCACACTCCAAGTAGCTGAAGTACTTGCCACCTGCTGCTGTGCCTCAGGGTTGGGATGTGACCTTCACACAGCCCTAGCTACCAATGCTGTTCCTCTGCAATGGCAGTAATGTGCTCTTTCAGGCCCAACTGTGTTGGGCGAAGAGCTGGGAAACCAGCTCCTGGCTCCTTGCCTTCTGGTCCACACAGGTGCTGCAGCAGAGCACTGGACAGTTCAGTCCTGCTGCCCCAGGGAGCCCCCACCCCCACTTGGCCCAAGCAGAGCCACTCTTGCAAACCCAAGCCTCCACCTGACCAGCCACAGGTGCTAGAGTAGAGAGTTATTTTGTGAGTAGAAAGGTAAGAATGTCTATGCTGTTGAGATGGAAATAATGGAGCCATTCACTGTTGGCTGCCCACAGCACAGATTCCACCTTTGTGCACTCAAACCTCAGACTAAAAATGATGGGAGAAAAAAGTTACAATGTTGCTCAAGGTAGTATGCAACAGGCCTACAGGGTTGGGACTGTACCCAATATGTAGACTTTAAAAAAAAATTATTCCTTAGGGGCTAAGGTTATCCTCAGCACCACATAAAAATAAATTTTTAAAAATTATTTCTAAAATAACACACTACTTAATAGTAAGTAACTGCACTGGGTACTATAAGTAACCAGAGAAAATTTAAAGTGAGTGGGGAGGATATATATAGATAGGTTCTATGTAAATTTTACCCTGTATTATACCAGGGACTTGTGGATTTTGGCATTCACAGGGTCCTAGAACTGCTCCCCTGTGACCACTAAGAGATGATCAAGGTAAGAAAGCAAGCACACTCACTGTACACACATAACAAGTATCCACCTTGGTGCTCTCGAGCATACCCTGGCCTCAAACTGCTCCCAGCCCAAGGTGGTGCCACTTCCCCAGCTGAAGAGGGGCCAGGCGGGAAGACAGCCAATAGTGCAGGCTGTCAGTGCACTTTCCATCAGGCTGCCAAAGAGGACACGCTCCTCGCGTGGCCCTCCACCAGAGGCCATCAGGGCTACATGCCTACTCAGTATGTAAACTCATCACCCCACATGGACAGACTACACATGTGAGGTGTTCACATATCCCTCTTCCAGCAATCCCTGGCAGTGTGGCCGTGAACAGGGAAGGCGAAGGGGGCTAGAGAGCAGCATACCAGGGTGATGGGGACGTGCTGAAGACACCTTCATGTGGCACAGTATTGTTTTCAGTTTGGCTGCATGGTGCTCCTAAAGAGCTACTCGTGAATTATGTACCCAGTAAATGACCTCCACTCAGTTGGCGGGAAAGCTATACATGCCCTAAATTCCCTACTGTGCTCTGCCCTCCAAGCCAAATGCAGGAAAGGAGCTAGCCTCTTGCTCAGGTCTTTATGATAGTTTTAAAATCTACCATTAATGACATTTTAAAAATCTTTGCTTACCACATAAAACTGTCTGAATAAAGACCAAAGAAAATACCAAGGTTACAATTTGACTTGTTAATTAGGAAACTTGAAGTGGACTGTCTTTCAATTTTCTGCCAAATTTCTTACATCAAAAATTAAAACAGAGCCAAAAAGTGCTACTGAGGCACAGCTCAGAGGTGGAACGCTTGCCTGGCACACACGAAGCCCTGGGCTCCATGCCCAGTACTGTAAAACAAAGTGCTACTCCTCATACTCCCCAGGAACTAACCAACCCAGGGTTTAAGAAAAGGAAATTCGAGGCTGGGGATGTGGCTCAAGTGGTAGCACGCTCGCTTGGCATGCGTGCAGCTGGGTTCGATCCTCAGCACCATGTACAAACAAAGATGTTGTGTCTGCCGAAAACTAAAAAATAAATATTAAAATTCTCTCTCTCCCTCTTTAAAAAAAAAAAAAGAAAGAAAGAAAGAAAAGAAAAAGAAATTCAAGCTCAACACATTCCCGAGACTGAACAGAAAGTCTGAGCTTAGGTGAAAGTGCAGCAAGCACTAGAGAAGAAAAACCCAGCCCAGTCTGATGGACCCTAGGATATGGCCTGGCTGCAGGAGTGGAGAGCCAGAATCAAGGTGTCAGCAGAGCCTGATGTTCCAGATATCACAGGGGTGATATCACAGACAGCGCTACAAAAAGAGGTGGCATGAAGTGGGCATCAGCAGGAACCCAGGAGGGAGCTGACGGGGTTCAGTACAGTGACCACTACACAGTGGAAGACGAGATCCAGGGTGCAGCCTAGGATGGGGCAGTGCTCCCGGTGATCATGGTCCACCTAAGTGGAGGGGGACAGCCACTGGGAGGCAGAGGCTTGTGCAGATGTGGCAGGTGAGAAAGCCGAGAGAACAGCCACTCCACATCTACAGTGGCCCACATTCACAAGGGGCCAAGGCTGGAGTCCCTGGGGAAGGCTAGCTTTCCAAGGAAGCCAGGAGGGGCTGTGAAGGCAGGAACCCTTGGGCACCCAAAGCAAGCAGGAAGCCCATTTAGGTCAGCTGGGTAAGCTCTATTGCAGAGCAGGTAACAATGAGTTGACACCTGAGGGGCAGTGTCCATAAAACTGGGAGTTCAATTTAAAATCTACATGGGGTCTTCTAAGATTCAGTTTATCCTCAGTCTGCCCTGTCTGAGAATGGTCAGCAAATGGTGCCCTCTGCAGAGCCAAGAAAGCCAGACAAGGACGCCTCTGACCTCACGGAAGAAGACATCTGCAGGTGTCAGGCTGGGTGGGATTTCCCGCTCCCTCTTGCTCAGCGCTGCCTGGATGGCAGTGTTCACGAGGTCTGGCCGCCGTGAGTGGTGGTTCTTGAGAGCAATTGCTGCAGACAGCTTTTCCGCGTGTTCACAGAGCAGCTGGCGGGTTGCCATTGGTGTCCCTCTGACTGGAGATGTGCGAAGACGCCCAAATAGGCCAACCTTGCAAGAAGACAAGCACAGTCCCTGAGACAACACTCACTGCAACCTGCAGTCAGGGCAGTTTGTTCCCTGCACCTGCAGCCGCCTGGTCAAGCTTCCCCAGACAAGACTGCCAGGAAGCCTAGACATGCCTGTTAGAGCCAACTGAGTCCACCCCAGATATCCTGAGTTCCTGGTCGTAGTTTTCAAGATGGTCAAACTATTCTTTCCCACCTATACCAATCACCTCTCCTTCACCTTCAGGGCTGGCTCCAGCCCATGACCTGGCAGGCTGCTGCCCTGCACACCTGCTGGCACCGCCTGCCGAGGTGGCTTCTGGTGGGCTCCCGGAATCCAGCTTTCCTGAGCACTAGAGGAACCACCACAGAAGAACCAGCAAGCAACCAGGACACAAGTGTGGCCAGTTTTCCATGTCATCAATTAGCACCTGCTCCTCACTCTCACTTCCTCATCTGCTAGCAGATTCCCTTTTCTAAAACACAAGAGGTTTCACTCCACACTGCTGTTCTAAGAATTTTATTTTTTCATAACATTTAATGATGACAATGATGGTAAAGATTTTTTGGGTACAAGAGGTTAAACCCAGGGTTCCTACTGAACAGAATCCCACTAAGTCAAACCCCAGCCCCTTTTATTTTTTAGCTTGAGACAGGGTCTGGCTAAGTTGCTGAGGCTGGCCTTGAACTTGGGATCCTCCTTGCCTCAGTCTCCTGAACAGCTGGGAGTACAGGTGTGCACTGTGCCTAGCTAGATATCTTGTGTGTGTGTGTGTGTGTATCGAGGATGGAACTCAGAGGCACTTGACCATTGAGCCACACCCTCAGCTCTATTTTGCATTTTAGAGACAGGGTCTCACCGAGTTGCTCAGCACCTCGTTTTGCTGAGTCTGGCTTTGAACTCACAATCCTCTTGCCTCAGCCTCCCAAGTTTGCTGGGATTATACACATGCACCACCAGCCCAGCTAGATATCCATTTTGTTTTTAAATATTTATTCTTAAGTTTTAGGTGGACATAATATCTTTATTTTACATTTATGTGGTGCTGAGGATCGAACCCAGTGCCCCCCTGCACGCTAGGCGAGTACTCCACCACTGAGCCCCAGCCCCCTATCCATTGTTTTTAACGAATGGAATGTTTTTGCTGAATCTAACTGTTATATTTCATTCAACCTGTTCACCTGGTTACCTTAAAAGTTATTTTAAGAGTCACTCAGTCATTTATGATTTGAATTCACCCCTCAACACTCTCTCAGGTGTAGTTCTTCCATAAGGCTCCTGATGCCTGCATTTGATGGCCACTGCATATAGCAACGAGTGAAGCAGGTGGGGCTGGGCCCAGTTCTGCTCCTCAAGGCAGACACAGGACCCTCCTCACCAGAGTGGGTAGCAGGTGTCCTGAGTTGCTGACCTCACTCCCACCTTCAAAATAAGGACACAGCCTCACTGGCCATGTACTGTCTCAAGGAAGGCAAAAGCTCTGTGCCAGAAGTGTTTCCTTAAAGGTCCTGGTCCCACATATTTCCTGCCTGTTACCACAGTAGTTCCTCATCAGAGACAAGATGTAAAGATGGAAGATAATGAAAACATAAAGGCAGAGCCAGAGAGGGGCTTCCAGACCCTATCAGGTGCTGCCAGTGACTGAGCCTCCATTTGGGTCTCTGGGCCAGCAAAGCCACAAGGCTCATGGTGGTGGCCTCTGATAAGCAGCCTGTCCAAGTGTGGCGCCCCACCCAGCATTCACACCCTCAACAAGGTGACGCCGCCCTGCAGAAGATGCTCTGACCTCCCATGGGTCTGCCTGTGCCTTGCTGTGACCAATGTCACCTATCAGCACAACATGCACAGACCAAAGTTCTTCCATGAAGGCACGCAGCAAGCCTGCAAGAAACCCTGTTTTGAAAGAAGCTGGTCTGATGAACACAACAGCGTCAAAGCTAAATTGACAAAAAAGCTGATGTGGCATTTCTTTGGAAAAGTGCTCCTTTCTTCTCTTAACCTAATTTTCAAGGCTGGAGTAGCAGCCTTCACACGCCCTGACTTGCTCATTTCTACGTCTGCACAAGGAGTGGGAACTCGAATCAGGCCACTGGGAAGTGCCAGGACAGAGTGGGCACCCTAGGTGTGGGGCACCAGAGCAGCCCAAACCTTCAGGGACTCTCACCTGGTGTAAGAAGTCCACCAGGAGGCCATGGGCTTTCATCTTGTCTTCCAGCTGGTGGAGGATGATCAGGGAGGTGTTGCTGAGCCCAGGTGCCTCTGTGAGAACACAGAAATGAGAAAGAACCCAAAAGAGCTTTCAGAATCACCACAGCTAGTCAAGTAGGGTCTGAAAACACCTGAGAGGACAGGGCCAGTCCTTCGAAATAATTATTTACATTATTCCATTGTTTTAAAATTTAGAAAGAAATCTGAAGGGTTTGACAAAATTCATTTGTACTTACTCAAAACAAGAAGCATGCTCTGTTTAGTTTAAACACTGTAGTTATATTTTTGACAGCTCCAAAGAAACAGCTATGGAAAGGAGCTGGGCAGCAGGGCTTTCGTCCCATGTCTGACTAAAGCAGGACCATTAAGGATAGCACCCTGCTTCCCACAAACCACAGAGGGTCTCCCTGCTGCAGAAGAGCCATTTGTTAGAGAGGTCACCCAGGGCAGGCTGGAGGACATGATATGCCCACCTCTGGTACCAGACTCGCTGGCACCTAGGAGAGCCTGCCATTTCTGTTAACCAAATACACAGTCTGCCAAGACCATCTTCTGATCTGGGGGCCTACATGCCATTGAGTTCCTACAGAAATAAAATGCAAGACAGAAAAGCAGCCTGCCTCTGAAGGAGCAGTCAGTGCTTGCTCCCATGTTCCCCCAGATGCTCTTCTGCTGTCTAGATTACTACCTTGAGTCCTGTTCAAGATCTACTAATGAGGACAGTTACAATTTTTAAAATAATATCAGGCAAAAATTCCCAATTGTTTGAGAAACTAAAACATAGTTTCCTCCTCAAATGGGTCATTCCTCAAAGTCAAACTCTTCTTACCTTCAGGAACAGACTCAGCCCACCGAGGGTCAGAGGCTGGGTAGTCATCCACCACATCTACACTGATTTGGGTAACAGCCCTGTCCAGCTCAGAGTCAGAATCCAAGTCGGAGTGGGAGGAAAACAGCTCGTCAACCGTCATTTGAGCATGACCCAAGTCTTTCCTGAAACAAATTGGAAAACAAAAGTATGAAGGGAGGTAAAACATTTCCAAAAACTTACCATGGAAAATTACTCAGGAGATTCAAGTCCCATGTATGGGTTTCAGCCTTTGAAGTACTGTCGATTATGACTAATTACAATGGGAAACCTCAGCTGCAGCCATGAATCCAACAAACACACTGAAGGCTTGCAACATGCAGGCACCAGACACAGGAGTCTGAGCAAGAACCGGGGCCTCAGAACGCACAGTGTCAGGGGAATTGGGCAATAGCCAGCGACAGCCACATGTGCGCAGCACCAGGATAGGGAAGGACACAGGCCACTAAGCCTGCAGAGGGGCAGAAAAGCTGCCACCCAAGGCCTAGCAGGGGCCAGGAGGAATGCAGCAGGGTGTATGCTCCTCACAGCACACATCCCCAGGGCAGTAAGGAGGCAAACCGTGGCACGAAGTGTACACCCAGTACCAGGACCATGGAAGGCAGTGGGTGGAGCTGCCACGGCCCATCCTTGTTTTCCAGGACATTCTGACTCTCACCCTGACAGGTGGATAGCAAATGAGACAGAGGTCACTGCAGGAATCCAGGCTGATCCTGCTTTGCAGCCCAGATCTGCTCATGGTGAAGAGGCTGCTTCCCCAGGACTCCTGACTGCCTGAGCGCCCATCCAGGACTACCAGTGGAGTCAGGAGCTAGGGGTCAGACCAGCAGGAGACCCAGGTGCTGCTCCTGAGGCCCTCCCAACTCAGGCTCACATCTAGCCATCATCTTACGCAGTGTCCACTGAGGGGGCTGAATAGTGCCCCCATTCTTATCCAGAAAAAACTCAGAACAAAACCTTGTCTATAAATAAAGCATCTGCAGAAACAACCAGTAGGGTAGGGATTAATGTGGCCCAAATCCTACAGTCAGTGCCCTTACAAGACCCTGAGAGGATGGTCACGCTGGGAGGATGGGCTGACGCACCAACAAGCCCAGCAGCATGACACTGCCAGCAGCAGCCTTGGCAGCCAGAAGCAGGCAAGGAGGGGCTCCTGTAGAGTCTCAGAGGGAGCCTGCCCCACAGTGCCTCAATTCTGGGCCCTGGCCTCCAGAACTGAGACAACACACTTCCGCTGTTCTAAGTCACTGAGTTTAGAATATTTAGTTTAGTTCTAAGCGCCACATGTGGACAGGCTGCTTATCAGAGGCCACCACCAGCAGCCACAGCAACTAAAGCAATCACGACAGTGGCTTGCTGCCTTGTTTATATCTGATGGAACAGTAATAAGTGCAAAAACTGGTAAGATCAGGTACTCTGCAAGCTGGGCTGCAGGGTACTGGTCTGAGATCTGTAGGCAGCAGACGCAGTGAACTCTGGGGACTTCAAAACAGACGAATCAGCTAAACCAAGCCCTGCCAACAATATACCCGCACTCGGCCAACTCCACCCAGGGGTATTCCCAATCTGTCCCAAGGCTCAGCAGCTCACTGGGGGCAAAGCAGGGCTGGACTGTAATCCTCAGGAGTGTCTGTTCAAATGTGAATTCACTGAGCCTTTTAAGGAAGGTACCAGAACACAGAAGTGTACAGGAAAACGCTAAGATGAACTGAGATTTGAGCTCGCCCCATGGGGCTCAGCCTGCCACTCACTGTCCCCACGAAGCACCACCAAACCTTACTGCACAGTGCAGACACAGGCAGGCATGGCAGTGGGCAGCAGGTCCAGTATGTCCTCCCTACTGGCACCTGCAACCCGTAAATGAGGTCATGCAGCCAGAGCTGAATGAGAGAGAGAAAGAAATGGAGCGGAAAGACCAGAAAAGGGCTAAAATGCTCTCCTGGTAGAAAAGCAGATAGAGCTGATGAGGGAAACACAGAAAACCACCTAAAAGCACAACTGGCAGGTGGAACCTGGAGACCCAGGTGCTCATTGGTACAGACTGCAGATTTTGGGGAACACAGAAGCAAGGAGAGCAAGATCCAACTAAAAAGCCACACAGCAATGGGGTGGGGGCAGGGATGCTGTCCTCTGTGTTCCCATGGTGCTTTCAGGCAGCTTGGCAGGCTCGTGGTGCCCAGGAGCCCTAGGATGGTGCATGGCTCACTTTCCCGCCTAGTGTGGTCTGGTCCCTTGCTGAGGCCTATACTTCCAACAGACCTGCCTGCCCTCATGATTTAGGAGTTCAAGCCTGGGACAATGGTGTGTGTTCCTTGTATCGTCACTCCAATTCTGCTCTCGATCTACAAAAAATTCCTGGAGCCATACATACATCCTGATTTCCCTTTTTGCTAGTTGTATATAGCCTAGAAAACCCGTACAAGAATCCAATGATACAAATGACAGCAGACTATAAGGTTACAGGCAGAAATGGATTACCAACAAAGACTCACAGGAATCTAGATAAAGACAAAGACAGGGCAATTTCCCCAAAGGATCTCAAGTGTTTTAAAAATGGACCTGATACCATGAAGTACTTTTTTTTTTGTGATCGTCTCTCACCTTTTTCTCTGAAACTAGAATTTAAGATAGACAGTTTATTTACTGGATACTTAGAGGAAACATATAGTGTTTACATTTAAAACGCACTCAGTTATGTTTAATGACCTTATTCCCTAGTTCCACTTTCATCACACACGTTTCCATTTCTAGTGCTGCTAGGTTAATAATATGTATGAACAGGCTGTACCAATGAGCACTCAGAACTTCAAGTCCTTGGGCCTCTAGCACTCAAATTCTGCTGTCTGCTCTAACTCCAGAGATCCTTTTATTTCACAGCACAGATGATAGCAACGTGGAACAACAGGAAAAAACTACTGCCCAACACAATGAAGCAGTTTATCCATGACAGTCAGTAACTACTGCACATTATTCTGACCAAGATGGAAAAGATGGAAACAGGAAACTTCTTTGAAAAATGAAACGTCTTTTACATAATGTCTGATGCATTTTATAAAGCTGTTACATTTCTTCCATTCCTACAAATGTACTGTTTGGTTTTTAAAAAAATTACAGAGCAAATTTCCCCAAACTCTCATAAACAAGAGTTTATTTTTGGGGCTGGAGATGTGGTTCAAGCGGTAGCACGTTGCCTGGCATACGCAGGGCCCTGGGTTCGATCCTCAGCACGACATAAAAATAAAATAAAGATGTTGTGTCCACCGAAAATTAAAAAATAAATATTAAAAAATTCTCTCTCTTTAAAAAAAAAAAAAGAGTTTATAACTTCTGAGCTAAATAAAACAAAAATCCAGATAACATGAAAAGCAATTTTAAAGAAAATGTGCACAAAAACAGTAGTGTTACCTTAGCAAAAAAAAGAAACTGCCAAGTGTCGCTACCCTCTGTGCCAGGGCACCTGGCAACATTTGCAGGCAATTTGGGTGGTCTCTCTTGGGGGAAGAGGGATGGGTGCTACTGGACGACTTGTAATTCATAGGCAGCTCCACAGTATGCACTTGCTCCCTTGAGGTGCTGAGGAGCTATGGGAAGCAGAGCTGGCACTGGGTCCTAGTAAGGTGAGTGGGCCAGTAAACAGCCGAGGCCCCACACACAGGCCCAGTGGGGACAGTCAAGCAGCCCACCTACAGGACCCCAGCTATGCTCCAGCAGCCTCAGCGCTGAGGCAAGTTTGTAGGCAGCAAAGCCCAACCAAAGACCAGTCTCATCACCGCCAACAACTCCTCTGCTTGCCTGCTACTCAAGGAGCCCCAGCAAGCTGTCTTAGTACAACTGCTCTCCAGGAGGTTGGGGGCATGTTCCACAGGAAGCCCTGTCCAGTGAGCCCTCTGTGTCCACCAGGTTCAGTAACCCCAAGTTGAGAGCCACTGCTGGCAAAAGCACTAATGCTCAAGAAAACCGACCCTCCTGATGACCCCACCCTCCATGTTGCTCCCATCCCAAACCAAAGGTCAACAGCCAGTGCCGGCAGCAGGATGGCCCTGGTCTTGAAGACACACCGTACCTGCAGTACTGCAGAAAAGCAGCTTTCAGCAGCTTGGTCCTGTCTTCCTGGGCTACTGTCCCATTCTTCATGGTAGTCTCAAAGACCATGCTCTGCAAGGACACAAGCCAGAGTTCAGAGGTGAAGGTCCAGAATATTCATGATGGCTGACGGAAGAACCAGAATACCTGAAGCCCCAACACTGCTGCCTGTGCTCCAAGCTTGAGGCACCCTATACCTGACAAACATACCACACCCCCACCCCTATACCTGACATACATGCTCACTCTTCCATGCCTGACATCTCCACACCTGACACACCCTACACCCCTCTAGAGATTGTAGATGTACTCAGCATTCAAACACATGGCCAGTGCTGACCAACCCCCCAGGTCCTGCAGGAAGGTGGACAGCTCAGTGATCACAACCTCAGCAAAACTCCCTGGGGAGCTCAGCAAGACCAACACCATCTACAGGTCTGCTCTCACACAGCTCCACTTAACGCACACCACTGAGCATGTGGGTAGTTAGTTATAAAATTAAATAACCACAGGACCACAAAACAAAGCTTAAGAATGTTGCTTGCTGGGACTGGGCTGGGGCCCAGTGGTACAGCACTTGCCTAGCACATGTGAGGCACTGGGGTCAATCCTCAGTACCACATAAAACAAAATAAAGGTATTGTGTCCACCTACAGCTAAATATTATATATATAACATTTTAAAAAGAGAGCATGTTGCTTTCTCTAAAGACTGTATCAAATCACTTTAAATTACAAAAATAGCTTATGTTTCATATATAATTCAAATGGAAAATATCCAAAACAATACCAAATATTTTTAGTCTCCTATAAAAGATTAAAAAAAAAAAAAACTTCACAGAAAAGGATAGGTATCTCAGGTTTCAAGATGACAGGGGAAAAGTGAGTTTTTCACCCCACTCTCTCTCCTAAAACTCATCCCAGCAAAAAAGAAACAAGCACAATCTGAACTCAAACTCTGAGTCTAACTACCCAGGAAGAAGAAACCAGAGGGCATTGGCAGTGCTGGGACAAGCCACACTGTGTGGAGTGGGGACAGGTGTGAACGACTGAGGAATAGTGCAGGGGAGCCCAGGGTGGTGGCTGTGCAGATTCAGCTTCCTGAGATTTGATCATGGAAAGAAGTACCCTGAGAAGCGTTTTTCAGAGCTGCTGGAAGATGTAGGGTGACAAATGCAGACATTTAAGTAAGCAAATATGAGCTGACCCTTTTCCATCCTCCAAGACCAACAGAGAGTCCTATGATGCAGGAGATGCAGTCAGCAAGTTACCAGGCTTAGGAAACCAAAAGCCACGTTCACTGTGTCACTATGATGAGAGGTCCTATGCTGAGACGGCACAGGAGGAAAAACAAGTTACCTGAACCCTCACCCCTAAGGTGGCAAAGCGGGAGACAGCAGACACACATACTGCTTGAAAGTGCAGAGGAAAGTGTCAGAAGGAACAGCGCAGAGACTTAAAAGCAGGTGCTCTGGGAAGGAGGACCAGGGCATGATGCAGATCAAAGAATGAATGTTCTTATCTAGGCTTCTTAACACACATCTGGCTTCCTGATGGACAACATGGGATGGGTAACCACATTACATCACTGCTTGGTCCAGCAACTGAAGACGCCAACGACTCCTCCAGCTCTTCTGCCAGCAGGGACACACTCTCCCTGCAAGTGATGGACACCAGCCCGCTGTTTCTAGAGAACAGGAGGGGAATGCCGCCACAGGAGCCCGCGCCCAGGATGCCATCTCCTGAGGGAAAAGCACACACAGACAGGATGCTTTGTAACGGCCACCTCACACTTCCTCCCTACTGTGCACTTGGCTTCTCATCTCCAGAATCAAAGGCCAAGAACCAGCCACTGCTCTAAGAAGCAGACCCTGTGCCCTCACTTCAGGATGACAAAGCCAGCCCTGCAAGACAGCAGGGGCTCAAAAGAGCACTTCCTCTGGGAGGCTGAGACAGCAGCCCCTTTCACTGTGGCGTCCTCCAGCCTGATTCTGCCTGGTGTAGCCACTGGACGGGGCTAGGCCTGCTGGCCTCAGCACGTCTGCCTGCTGCTGGTGCCCTGGGACTAAGCCACAGGCTCCATCCTCTACATGGCCCTCTGGATCACCTGGTGGAGTCGCTGTGGCCTGCCTGCACTGTGGGTGCATCCACGCAGGAGTCCAGCATCTGGACTCTCGTCAGGGCTCTAGGCAGACTGGTTTAAAGAACATCAACTCATACAAGCCACCCTCACTGGCACAAGCGTTGGCTTCCCTAAAGAGCCATCTCTTTCCTTCTTGGTCTCTTCCCTTGGGGAAAACACAACTATTTTTCTCCATAAGTTAACAGGCTGGGGATTCTACTGTTCTCGTGGTTTCTCAGGAAGATCATTCCAGCTGCTCCAAATGTGGTATGAAGTCTCAGTGACTCCTGGAGGTACTGTGCCCAAGCAACGTGTGGGGAGAGAGGGAGAACCACAAGGCTGACCAAGAGCTGCCAGCTGCACCTTCTCTAACCTCTACTGTACCTTGTGAATTGAAGCTGATTCTCTCTCGAGGGAGAGAAAACTTCCCAGTCCCAGTGGTGCACACGTGGACAGCATTCTCAGTGTACAGGTAGGCGGTCTGGCTTGAAGAGTCTGGGACCATCAACCCGCATATGACCAAGTCTTCAGACTGAAAGGAGAATTTAGAAACAAAAGTACATGTTTGTATGATTTCATAATCGCATTCCTATGAAAGCAGCCCATGAAATGACAGGCTAGTTCACCAGGCTCCTTGTGAAAGCCCAAACACTGGCTATCAGATGACCTGCAGAGCATAGCAGGACAGTTCTGTTCATCAATGGTCCCAACCCTGGGACCCTTCAAGTTCCTGTTAAAACCTGCCCTCGCAGTGAGGGGTCAGGAGGGGCCTTGGGCTACTCAGAAGTGAGATCAGGGCCCTGGTGAACCCGCCTGCCCTCTTACCACAAGATGATGCAGTAAGGGCAGCCCAGAAACCCTGGGTATGGACCACTTCCAGCACTGTGTGTATAATTCTCTCACGCAACCTTGGGTGCTTGCTACATACAGCAGCCCAAAACTTGGACAAATATCAGTCAGAGCAGTCATTGGCTGAGATGCAAATAATCGGCAAATTCAGAAAATGTTTTTAAGTATTCCAATTACAAGGTGATGCCCACAACAAATATGAGAGATAAAACAAAGCTTATTAACCCACCACACTATTTATTGTAGGATTCGGAAATCCTTACAAATAATCCCTGGTTAACATTTAGGTTCTGACTCTTCTTTCACTGTCAAGACATCACATAGAAGCTCAACCTCATTTGGCATGTGAAGGCTTCAAGGCCAGCATCAAAATAAAATAAAATAAAACAAAAAGCACGTCAAGCACAAGAAAACTGAGCCAATTGTTCATGTACAGAACTAGAGCCAGAAATGGAAATAAAGACCAAATTAAGTGATAAAATTAGAAAATGTTAAAAACAATAAACTGCCATTAAAGAAGTTATGTTACAAATGTTACATTAAAGTGGGATCCTAGGATTTATTTTATTCTAAAATTGTTTTCTTTATATCCCTTTGCACTAGCAGAAATATTTTTTCTAACAATGAATATGCCTTTCTTGTAAAAACAGAAACACTTGGTAACGTTCATTTCCATTTGAAATAATAGAACAAAGGATCCAGGCTTGGTGGTGCACCCTTGTAATCCCAGCAGCTCAGGAGGCTGAGGCAGGAGGATGGTGAATCCAAAGCCAGCCTCATCAATGGCAAGGCACAAAATAAGGCCAGGGATGTGGCTCAGAGACTGCATGCCCCTGAGTTCCATCCCGGGTACCAAAAAGAAAAAAAAAGAGAGAAGATTTTCTTGTGGGATTCGGTTAATGTCATACAGAGAAAAAGACTTAACAGAATTAGAAGAATGCAGCGGGTGAACGCAGGGCATGCAGCTGTGAAGGCTTCTCTGAGAACACGCAGCTGAGGGCAAGGGGAACTCAGCGGCATTTGTGAGCTCTGAGGAGCGCACCTGCTGCTGCCTGAAGTACAAGCCCTCTGTGGACCCCCAGGGCTCCCTGGAGCTCTGAATGGAGCCCCACTACCTTCGGCCTCCTCCTGCCTTGCACTAGTGTTTCCTGCCCACTCAGCAACACAGAAATGATGACATGGGGCTGCAGCAGGGGTCACAGACTACCTGCAGTACCTCCAATCTCAGCCCTCAGCCACAGTTGGGAAAAAGGACGCTGAGACGGAAAAGCCAATGCGATAGTGATATTGGAGAGCATTTCCAAGACCTACAGATATAACTCAGAGAACAAGATCCCAAAAAGTGTTCAATGGTTAGAAAAACACTCAAATGTGTTGAGCCACTTTGTAACTTGACTTACCTGAAAAGGTGGATTGTACTGAGTGACTTCTACTGTAATTGCATCTGACATTTGGCAGCCGTTATCTTCCACTGTCACAAGGGAGTAATAGACCAGGCAGGGGTTGTCTGCAGGATGCCACGCAGCTGCCAAAATCAGGAGCCCATCACTAGCCAGGGAAAAAGAGAGTCTGCAGCCTCTGGGGAAACAGCCTGGAAGGTTCTTACTAACTCAGACATGCTCATCATGCACCCTGGCATCTCTGCTCCCAGATCCTGACCCAAGAGAAAAAGCAAACACGCTCACACCATAAACTGTGTGCAAATGGAACATGACTGAGCAATGCAAGAAATCAATCCCAAATGCATTATGTTAAGTGAAAGCAGCCAAACTCAAAAAGACTGTGTAGCATATGATCCAATCATGTGGAATTCTAAAGAGGCAAAGCTATGGAGAAAACAGATTGATGACCACCAGGGCAGAAGGGAATTTTTGAGGGTGATGGAAGTGTTCCTCTCCCTCTCCCTCTCCCTCCCTCCCTTCCACCCCCCTCTTTTGTAGTGCTGGGGATCAAATTCAGGTCTCCACAAGGCTCAGCAAGCACTCCACCACTGCCCAGAGCCCCAGTCCTGTTTTATATCTTGACTGAGATTGTGGTTGACTGCCACATTTGCCAACTCAGAATCATACTTTAAAAATGATAAAATGAAGAAAATGATAAATATTACCAAATGTAAATGAGGACTCAATAAACTTGCCTCAATAAATCAAGGATCAACACGTCACCTAATTCAGGAATGGCACAGAATAGTCCTCAGGCCCAAATGAGCTCAGGCCCAGAATGTAACAGAAGTTGTTCTGGGAAGCAGATTTAAGCACCACAAGGAGATAGTATGCCACAAACTCAAGGCAGAGATGTTACAGTAAGGACTCAAGGGCCCAAACCCAATCAGCTGCGCTCTAGCCCGTCACAGGACAAGCCTGCCAACTGGAAATCTAATCAGTTCTTCACAACTTAGCCTTTGTCCAGAGGAATAACATTGCTTTTAATTTTAGGCACAAGTTATTGAAACACCAGGCTGCTATACTGTGAAAAATCCTTGTTCTCATTAAAGTTGTGTGCTGTTCTTACTACTCCAAAGCTGTTGCACCAACAGACAACACAATGCTCTCTTATCCCAGCCTTTCCCCAAAACCAAGTGGCAGTGGCAGTGCCAGCAACCTTCCCTGGAGCCTCAGAAATACCAACAGGGAGGCCAGCTCCCTCCACGAACAGTCACACCCAAGAACAGGGGCAAGTACCCAGACGATGTGGCACTTCACATCGTGCAACTGTCCTCAGTTCTCCCTTGCGCTCCACATCCACTGGAACTTTTCAAAGAATTAAAGAATTCTAGTTTAAAATTGTGATATACTGGGGCCCAAAGAACTTTCCACATGAGAGGGGTTGGAGTGAAGTCTCACAGAACAGAGCCTCAGGAGTCTCTCTGGTAGTTAGTCCACTTAGCAGGGGGGGCCAGGACCAATTTTCTTTGACACAGTTGTAAAACAAGCTTCTTATATGCCAGTAAAAAAAACTTCTCATCTGCCAGGCTTGGTGGCTGACGCCTATAATCCCAGTAGCTCGGGAGGCTGAGGCAGGAGGACCCTGAGTTCAAAGCCAGCCTCAGCAAAAGCGAGACACTAAGCAACTCAGTGAGACCCTGTCTCTAAATAAAATACAAATAGGGCTGGGGATGTGGCTCAGTGGTGGAGTGCCCCTGAGTTCGATTTCCCGTACCAAAATAAATACATCAAAATAAAAAGAGAGAAAAAAAGCTTCATATCTGAAAAACCTTGAAGCTACTTCAGGTAGCAAAGACAGGAAGATAATTGCAATTTTGTACATCAGTAAAAATTGACAAGTTATGTGGGAATATGTAAGGTAATAAATTTAAGATTAAAAAAAAATCCAAACTTCATATCTGAAATGAAGATATACAGGCTTTGTTATTGCAATAGCCTCACAAAAGAACTCATAAGCCTGCTCACTGCAAACACAAACCAGGCTACAGCACTAAATCAAAAGTGTCAAGAGCACTGAGGAAGAAAAACACTCTGGAACAGAAGTAGCCCACATGTGGCTGGAATTTCCTGTGCATACTGGTCACCACCCCCAAGGGCCTGAGTGAGATCTGCATTGTGTGGAGCTCAGGAGAGCAGGAAGATCAAGGGGTGAGCCAGTCTCCAAAGCCTCACAAGGATGTGTCAGAGGACCACACTGGGAGCAGGAGCCCCCAGGATGGCAATTCCTGAGCATGCTCCCTTCCTCATTCCCAGCCTCTGCCTCCAAATCTGAGAACAGTGAAACCCATGGTGATCTTGGATATCCAAGTAGCAGTGCTAAATTTCCAAGTCTGATAATGGAAACAGATAAACCATATTTAATTAAAATGCCTGCAGAGATAAAATAAGCAATACCATCTTTACCTCCCAGGTGGCTTTTCCAAGGTTTTCAGAGACTGCAAGGAGGAGCACAGCAAGTCTAAGTGCCCAGCTCACACAGCAGGACAACAACCACAGGACAGGCAGAAGCTGTGGCACCACTCTAAAAAGCAGGAGCAGGATGGATTGCTGGATGTGGACAGGTTGTGCTGGAGGACTACCGTCCTGTGGACCCCCAGAGAAGGAAGGCTCCACAGACTGTAGGAGGCTGGCTTTAGAAGAGCTACCAGCTTATCTCCCAAACTGTTTCTATCTTTCTTAGGACAATTTAATTGCTTACCAGTTTTGCTTCAAGTCCAAATACCGAATGTTGACCCCTTCTTTAATAGCTTCATAGTTACTTTCAGATCCCTAAGGGGAAATATCAAAAACATAAGCTTCCCAAGCACCAGAAGCACTCCTTTTCCCTCTATGCCCCCAACACCTAATAAAGCAGCTCATAGCTGCTGCCTGAGTGGTGCATACACCTGGAAACTGATGCATCAAGCGGCTGATGAGCACCCACCATGGGGATACAAATACCCCATTCTGCACTCTACACTTGTAACGTCCAACTGTGTTCAAATAGCGAAGGGAGGAACTGGTATAGCCATGGGCGTGAAGTGCCATCCTACCCAGATAGCATCGGTGACGTTCTCCTTCAGGGCTCGGTGCACATCCCAGCTGTATGCCTGCTTTTCTGATGATTCATCCAACTCCCATTTACTGATATTTGAGCTGGTGAGGCTGTAGAAGCTGGAGCTTTCTCTGTCCCAGAAAACACCTGCAAGCTGCACAGAGGGAAAGAAGTCATGCTTCCTAAGGGCCCAATGAGACCTCAGACCCCATGTGCAGGATGGCTGAGCAATCAGTGCTCATGATGGACTGAGGAGCAAGAGCAAGGTGGGGGCACAGGCCTGGAGAGCAGAGTGGGGTGTGGAAGTACAGGGTCCTTCAGAAGATGTCCTCTTCAATTGTAAAATAAACCTGAAAAATAGCAAGATACAGCCAAGTCCTGGAGGTGGGTCAGCAGCTCTGGTAAGCAGAGCAGATGTAATGGCTTCTGAACCCAGAGCCCTGAGGGGACCAATAGCAGGGAGGAAGGCAAGACTACACATGGCCATGCAGCTGCAAAAGCACAGACATGCTCATCAAGCCTTGTGTGAGGTTTACCTGGGTGTCCAGGGTGGTTCTAAATGGGGCAGGCAGGACCTTCAGAAGTACACTGGACTGGCCCAGCAGCTTGGGTAAAGCTTGCCAAGTGCAGGGGCTTAAAGTCAGCACCAAGAAGAAAGGAATGGAAAGGGACCCAGAGGGGAGCGCTTAATTTGCCCCAACGCAGACAGAGTCTAGGAAAGCACCAGGGTTCTGGGTGGTCACTGAAGAAGTGATGATGCCTTTAGCAGAACAGTCGAGAAACGAGCTCTGTACACTTGGTCCAGGGCAGAGAAGGAACCTGGTAAATTTGTTTTCAGACATGTTCTGTTTTAAAGAAGAACACTCAAAGAACTAAGCATGGTGGTGCCTGAGGAAGGAGATTTCTCTAGTTCAAGGTCAGCCTGGGAAATTTAGCAAGACTCTGTCTCAAAATTTAAAAAAAAATAGAAAGGGCTGGAGAGGTACCTCCACGGTAGAGCACCAGGTTTCATCCCCAGTGTTGGGAGGAAAGAGAAAACTCATGGAAGCAGGAGAGGAAAGCAACCGGCAAGAAGATAACTTCAGGGGGTAGGGGGCAGATGCCGGCAGGGGAGCCACCGCAGACTCTGCAGCCTGGGCACAGCCCCCAGCCCTGCCGCTCAGTGGCACACTGAGGAGGCCCTCTACTTCACAGGCTGTCATAATGATGGCACGACATGACTGAGCCTTGGCAGAGAGCAGACACTGCACAGTGTCAGCTCCCATCTCCCCTTCCCCAGCTGTGCACAGGTATGGACAGGGTCAGAACATCAGTTATGAGAGAGAGGATACTTTCGGTAATTTTAAAACGTCAACTCAATCCTTATGAAACACATTTTAAATTTACAAACTAGTTTAAAATCATATGGAGGCAAAACCAACTTCGTAGGAAACTTTCAGCTAAGAAATGAGCTTCCAAAACAGACATTTTATAAACTTACCATGAGATCACTACTAGGAGACAAAATTCCAAAAAGGGAGGAAACCCTCCGACCAATCCCTGAAAGCACGCCTTGCCCCTGTGGCAAGACATGCTGATGGATCTTCCCCGAGCTTTCAGGTATCAACCGAATTAGCTGGCTCCCTGCAGAGGACAAGACGAAGCTTCCTCCCTGTGAGCAAACAGAGAGATTAGGTAAGTGTCACCACCAAAAGGAAGAGAACTAATAAAAAATACTTAGAACCAAGTAAGGTGGCAAAGGCTGTAAACCCAGCTACTTGAGAGGCTGAGGAAGGAGGATGGCAAGCTCCAGGGCAGCCTTAGCAATTAGTGAGACCTTGTTTCAAAATGAAAACTAAAAAGAGCTGGAGATGTCACTCAGTGGTAGAGCACTTGTCTACCATGAATGAGGCCCTGGGTTCAATCCCCTGAACCACTAAAATAAACAAACAACAAAAAAAAACCTCTTTGATGCAGAGAAAAATCATCCTCACCTTAAACAAATTTAAAAGAACGAATAAAAGCACAACATTATTTTATTGACATAATTAAGAATCTGTTCAATACAATGACATGATTATCTTGGTGATACCAGGGACTGAATCCATGCTAGGCGAGCATTCTACCAATAGTTATACCTCCAGCCCTTCTGACCAACAATACAAATTCTACATAGAAAAACTTCTGCAGCAGAAAAACAGTTAATTCTTTTTAAATTTGATTTTTAAATAATAGGTTCACCATAATGCAAGTTAAACAAGTCAAGCTTTGGGCATCAGCAGTCATTCTTTACAGCGTTCAGATCATAAAACACTTCTAAAAGACGTGAACACTACTCACCACCACCCAATACCAGCCCTCAGAGCCCCCGGAGGGGTCTCGCTCCACCAAGTGAGCAGTGGCAGACTCCTATTCTTACTTCCTCGTCCCCTGTGGGTCCCGTCCCTGCTGTGCGTCTGCTTAGGAGCCATAGTCCCAGCTCACAGCTCTCCCCAGACATAAAGCAACACTCATTTCACACCTTGACTGCCGTGAGGAACCTGCAGATCTTGTCCCCTCCCAAGTCCACGCATGTTTCTGTGTAGGTGTCCTCCCCAGCGAGACTTGGCCAGTAGCGGATGGACCCTTCTCTAGTGGCAACCATGACAGCAACGGCCTGGAAACAAAGCCACAACAGTCAGCAAGGAGGCCTCACAGGCAGAGTCTGATAATGCTGAAGAAGTCAGAGCAAGGACTTATTTTCAAACAGCTTTTAAAGTGAGCTAGCAGTAAAACTGCCTTTCCTTTGTTACGTGGAACAATTCTAACACTTATGTGGGTTCGCATAGCTAGCCACAGTAAGGACCCAGAAAGTCCCACCCGCCTCCCCAAAGTGGCAGCACCTTCCCACCCTAACCCCTGGCAACCCATTTTTGCTGAAATCACAGAGTAGGACGCTGACTGCTCCTCAGTCTCCCACCTCAGACACATTGGGTCACTATAGGCATTGCCGGCTCAATTTGCTGAGATGAGAAGCACTCCACCATGGAGGTACCCCTTCAGCTGCTCTGCCACCTGCTAATGGACATCACAAAGGAAGCAGCTGTGCCACCTGTGTGGTATTCCTCCTTGACCTCAGTTTTCACTTCTCCAGGGTGAAGAGCCAGGAATGGAACTGCTGGGCCCATAGTACGAGCCTTGACCCGTGAGAAAGGGAAGCCGAGAGGCTGTCCCACCCCACATCTTGCCTGGAAAGTTTCATTCTAGACCTGTGCTGCCTGTTTGGTTTTCTCCCCAGTGACTCTTGTTAAACTGCGCTGTTTTCTTATCCAGCTTTAAGACCTCTTTTTATATTCTGACATAATTTCTTTCTTGGATGTATGATCTACGAATATTGTCTGTCTGTAGCTTGTCTCTTCATTTTCTTAAGCAAAATTTTAACTTTAATCTTATTTTAATATTAATTTTCCCAGTTTTTTACTTTAAAGGATCATGATTTGAAATTTCTAAAAACTGTGCCCAATCTCAGATCATGACAATTTATCTCCTTTCTTTTTCTAAAAATATTTTCTATTTTACATTTAGATCTATGATCCATTTCAAGTTAATCTTCATGCAACTTCTTTTTTAAAATTAACAGATTACCAATTGTTCCAACACTATTTACTGAGTGACCTTCACTGAAGTGCTTCTGCATTTGTCAGAGACTAGTGCAGTCCTCGAGTGGATCTGGAAGGTGCCCTCTCTCCTGCTCCACACTGTGGGTCTAAAATGCACTCTCCACCCTGCTCTACACACCACCATCTACCTCTTTGTCAGTGCCACAGTCTTATTTCTGTACATTACAGTAATGTCTTAAATTTGGGTTTGATGTCCCTCATTCAGAATGCCCTCATTTAAGCATTTAAGTCACCTACCTGAATGGAATGCGCTTCACCTGAGGGAGCGGAGAAGGACAGGGCCACCAGGTCAGCACTCCAGTGGAAATCGCTAGGTGGCAGCTGGAGTTCTTTGCAAACAGATAACTGGAGACCACACACAAACAGAAAGCCTTTTGCATGAAACCCAAGTCTTTGTGCAAATGATTTTTCTATTTCCTTTCTCTGCATATTGCAGATTCTGATTTGTTGCTAGAAAACAACATTCTACAAGTATTCTGTCCTTTTGCAGCTCTTTTTGACCAGGCTACAGGAATTTAACAACATTCACAGAATTGAGACAACTTAAGATCTAGGCTGAATCTTGAATACCAATGCAGCTCTAGATCAGACCTGTGGATAGAGTCCTCGGGTGAAGAGAAGCTTCCTATGAACCTTTCCCAAGCTGCGATTTGCTGGACATTGAAAATTAGCTTGACCAGAACTGGGGTGTGGCTCAGCGGTAGAGCGCTTGCCTAGCGCATGCGAGGCCTTGGGTTCGATCCTCAGCACCACATAAAAATGAATAAATAAATAAAATAAAGGTTAAAAAAATAAATAAAATTTGCTTGACCAAAAAGTAACTAAACCAAGTTGCCTTGACAATGCCTCTTTGACTCTGAGCCAAGTATCAAAGCCCCTGCTGCCTCAGAACCGTCCCTGGGACCTCTCCATCATGTACACTCATCACAAGCACCATCTTCTAGGCAGCAGCTCGGAGGCCAGTACACATGCGGTAAGGAGGGGTAGCAGAGACACTGTGCAGGAAGAGGCTGCTAAAGGTGAGCCGCCGCCACACCAGACACTGACCACACTGTGGAGCACACTCTGAAAGCCACCTAGCAAGGGTCTCACTTTTCCTATTGTATTAAGCACCTTGCAGTAGATTGAACAAAATATTGTTGTATCTTCTTGAAAATAAGCACCCTCAGCTCATTAGCTGATGTGGGCAGAGTAATCTCAGACTTCACTAACCAGATGGACTGACATCATGTTTTGTTTAATATATATTTTTTTAGTTTTAGTTGGACACAATACCTTTGTTTTATTTATTTTTATGTGGTGCTGAGGATGGAACCCAGGGCTTCGCACGTGCTGGGGAGTGCTCTACCACTGAGTCACACCCCAGCCCTGGCATCAACTTCAATGTCTCTGATTTTATGAAAGTAAATAATGTGACTCTCCTTAAAATTAGTGCACAGGTGTGCTGTGTTGACAATGCTTCTGTGGACACAGGAACCGTTCCACAGACCACTGACTTTCCCAAGAAATGTGGTAAGCATCTACCCCACAGAGCAACATGCACAAGAAGTGCAAGGAATCGTGCACTCAGGGAAGGCATGAAAGATGGGAAGCCTAGCAGCTAAGGGGTCACACTAAACAGCTGGAGCCCCTCTCCTAAAAAAAAGGCTAAAAGCCCACAAGACAGTGCTGAGGCCGAAGCACCTTGAGCCAGCTGCAGAGCAGAGAGAACACTGGGAATTGGAGGAACAAGGTGGAGGAAGGCCCAGAGACCTGTGCGGAGTTTACTCTTTACTAGAAGGACAGTAACAACTTGAGGCCATGTTCACTTTATTTGGTTAGGGTGGGTCTTTGGGGAGGGAATAAAATTACAGACTTCAATTTTAAAATTACTGAAAGAACACTTTTTTCCCAGGACACCAATGTGATGTGCACTCAGCATTTCATACACAAATCCCTGAAACCCACATAGGCACAGACAACCATCCTCCACCAACTCTGAAGACCTAGGATAGAAACAAAGAACCCACCGGTACTCCCCTTTACCTTGGTGACAGGTGACAGAGTAATCTTCCAAACAAGCAGTTTCTCTTTGCTGACTAGGCAAGCCCAGCCACCTTCATCTATGTGAACAGACAGCTGGTCATCAACTGGGGAAACAAGGATGCAATCAATCTTAAATCCCAAATGAGGAAAGCTGATCAACATTTCCTGTGCCACAACGGCCACTGCCTCATTTCACAAGATCAACCGACAACAGGAACACACAGGAGATAACCAACAACAGGAGATCAGACAACAGGAGATCAACCGACAACCAGGAATGCTCCTGAATATTCAAGAATCACTGACTTCTAAGCAAAAGATCTTTTAACTTTGATATTCACCTTTAGAATATACATAAAGGCAATAACTGAATTTTGGGCCTAGGTTTATGATTTTTGTTATAAGTAAATATCCCTACTTTCTATTAGAAATATTTAGCTGAATTCATAATTTAACTGAAAAGCAATACATTTATTATTTAATAACCCCCTCATTAACTATGAAAAGCATTTCAAGGAAAAAAAAGTATCACATTCCTTCAAAAGAACATGCTTTTCAAATCAGAGCCCCTGGAAGTAGGATGCAGGTCCCACCACATGGAGCCAAGGGCATTCCCTACAGACAGGACAAACCTGCGGCACCTTCCGCACAGATGCCAGGCCTCCACAAAGGGACTGATGGCCCTGGAAATGGCACTAGTTTGAATTCTGCTCTTTGAGTTAAGGTGGGGGAACCTGAGGCATCCACAACTTATAAGCTAAAATGTCAGAGCATACCCAGGCTGTGCTGGGGCTCTGCTGAACTGGAGCTTCTGCCTGCTCAGGAAGCCCTTTTCATTAACGCACTCAAAGCTCCAGGCTCGTGGTGGCAAGCCTCCATGGCCTGATTCAACACTGGCCCTGGGCATCATCCACAGGAGGAACCTGGAGTTTATACCTCTCAGTGTACACATGCTCATTTCCAGGACTGACTCCTCTGAATGCCTAGATTTGAGGCCAGTGTTGTTTGTTATCAACAAGTTGGTAGCATGGATAAGCAGTGTGTTCAAAGATTTAATGCAATGCAAGCTGAAGATTTCCAGGGGAAAAGAAAAGTATATTTAAAGCAGAGCACCATATAATAGAGGTTAGTAGTTTAGTTGTCTAAAAACTATCCCCAGGATTGGAAGCCAGATATGCAAGTTCAAATCCATGAGAAACATCCCTTCCTTTAGAATGGAGTAATACATATAATAATATATATTACATATTTCAGTACCAGGGCTTGAAACCAGCGGTGCTTAAAAACTGAGTCACATCTCCAGTCCTTTTTATTTTAAGACAGGGTCTCACGAAGTTGTTGAGAGTTTCACTAAGTTGCTGAGCCTGGCCTCAAATGTGTGGTCCTACTGCCTCAGCCTCCCAAGTCACTGGGATGACAGATGTGTGCCATCATGCTTAGCAAGAATGGAGTATACTGAAAACTCTAATGTTATTCACAGTAAGTGATACACAAAATTACTTACACTGTAATGTACTCTGATACCGTGATTCTCTTCTATTTTTTTTTTTGTTGTTGTTGTTTTTAATGCTAGCTGTGAACTACTAAACTGATTTCAGTAACAAGCTGCAATATGAAAAACACTTTCAGAAAAGCCAGAGTCAAGGGGTCCGACTTAGGTATGTACAGAGAGAAGTATAAACTGCAAGTCCCACTCTGCTAGAGACTGAATCCCGGAACACTCTACCATTGAGCTACATCCCCAGCCCTGTTATTTTTCACTTTGAGACAGAGTTCCATTAAGGTGCCCAGGCTGGCCTCAACCTTGCCATCCTCCTGCCTCAATCTGCCAAATTGCTAGGTTTATGGGCATGCACGACCATGCCTAGCCCAATTCCTCACTCTTTAATGTTGCTCTTCCAATTTTGTGTTGACCACACCTTCTGAACTTCTACAATGAATCTCAGCCAACAGAACGTTCTGAGATCACTCTACACTGGTAATTCCATGCCACTGTACACACAGCCTCTGGGACACCACAAAGGACCCAGAAATGGAGTGTGACCTGAACTTACTGCACTAGTTTTGGGAGTTGCTTTTAAAGCTAAATTCCATATATCTGATCAGTTTTTGAAATGGGACTGAATTCTGCACAGTACTTAAAACCACTGGACTTAAATGTGATAGTGTCAGAATGATGCCCTCTGTTTCTCGAATACATCATGTGTCTGGACTGAAGCAAAGAACCAGTCAGACGCTCTACCCTCCCGCAGGTCCACCCACCCAAGAGGCCTGCTTCGCTCACAGATGTTGACAGGTGAGTGGAGGGAAACACCTACCCTCTGCCAGGGTCAGGGCCTCCATGACCTTAACAGGGAGAGATGATCCGAACGTCTTCACATCGTAGTTCACAGACTCGGTTACGGAGTGGTGCGGGAATGTCCGTGTAGGTGTTCCTCTAAAGAAAAGAGACCACATTACTTCACTTGTCACTTAGAACTTTTCGCTACCCTAGTGTTTACATATGTATTTACGTGATGAAAGGATCTTGATAAATAAGGAAGTGAGCTTAAACACTGGCACGTGCATACTGTGTGAGTAAATGTACTTTTAATTCAAAAAAGGGCTGACAGGATTTAGGGAACCCTAGCTCAACCAGTAATGCTCAGTAATTACTGTGAGAGCCACATGCCCCCAACGAGGGTCCAGAGAAGTCACTGTAAGAGCAACACAACCCCATCCCTGTGATGTTCTCTCTTGGCTTCTACTCACTGAATACCTAGAACTTTTCAAATAAGATGAAATACTAAAACATAAATTGCTGAACATTTATATTTATCAGTTTAGGCTTCTTATTACAAAGAAATTAAAAATTGAGTCTGTTAGTAATGTGTCCTATCGCAATGAAAAACCGTTCTGTACACCTGTGTATGTAGAAGCTATAAAATGTATGCTCATAAAATGCTGGTGTATGATGAACTTATTCCTGGGCTCTCACTAGCAATTAAAGTTACTAAGCATTAAAAATTCTACTTTCTATATAATACTTAAAATAATAAAAGGAACAACTCTACGCGCAAGGGAAGCACATGTTTGTAATTAAGTGAAGCTCTGAAGTATGACTTGAGGTGTATCCTTTCTGTTTTGACGGGGAGTGGCTGATTGTTGAAGAAGAGAGGGGTACGCAAGACAGAAATGGGTAGGTGAGAAGAGCCCAGGAAGCCGTGGACCTCCTCCCTGATGTGTGGTCATTGTTGGCTGAGACAAGATGATTGCTCTCTCAGATTTGATGAGTGTGAATACTAGCAGTGCACGTAGGCAAAAGCAGAATTTGGTCTCCTCTATTAAACCAATGAAATTTTCTTACACTATTAATCTGAGAATGGGAAAGGTTTAGAAAACATATTTAGTTTCATGCAAGACAATTTGTATTTGATGTTGTCTTCTATTTGGTCTTTGTTTATTAACAAAGGGGAGTCTTCTTAATATTTTAAATGAACTAAGTTTTTGCTCACAATTATGTAACCTTTTGTACTTGCCTTTAAAATAATTTTTTGTCACTGACTAAACAGATGACTAAGATATTTAAGCCTTTCAACATTTTTGACAAACTTCCCAAAATCAAACTCTAAATTAGATCTTTTTGACCTTGAATTAACTTTGGGATTTTCCAGTTGTGTCTCAAGAAAGCCATAAAAAACATGTGTTTCTCATCCTGTAAGACAGATGGTGCTGGCATAGTGGCACACCTTTCTAATCCCAGCAATTTGGAAGGCTGAAGCAGGAGGATCATAAGTTTGAGATCAGACTGAACAATTTAAAATTTTTTAAAGGGTTGTAGATGTAGTTCAGTGGCAGAACACCTATAGGGTTTATCCCAAGTACTGTGAAGAAAAAAAGATTATTTAGGCTTTTTTTTTGGGCAGCGGGGTGGGGGCAGGGGTACCAGGGATTGAACCCAGGGGCACCTAGCCACATCCCCAGCCCCCTATTTTTAAAATAAAAAATTTTAAGAGACAGAGTCTTGCTGAGCTGCTGAGACTGGCTTTGAACTTGTGATCCTCCTGCCTCAGCCTCCAGAGCTGCTGGGATTATAGTGTGCACCACTGCGCCCAGCTAATTAGGCTTAGGTAATGTTAAGTTATATGAGAATCACTGTCAAATAATAAATGATGCTCAATCTTCAAGATATACTTAAGAGATATTGGATACTGACAATGGTGGGGGAAAGGAGCTTTCCCAGATTGGACAGAGAAGAGTCTTGGGAAGGAAGGGGGGATGGAAATGGAAAAGAATAGATGACTTCGGACATAATTTTCCTGTGTTCATACATGAATACACAACCAATATAACTCCACATCATGTACAACCACAAAAATGCAAAGTTATATTCCATGTATGTATGTCAAAATACACTCTACTGTCATTCAGGTATAACTAAAAAGAACAAAAATTAAAAATTTATACTTAAGGATAGTTACTGATATGACTGTTGCAAAAACTATATGAGTCCTTGAAATCCAGCATGCCATCAATCACAACTGTGGTCATGTTAAAGTATTCCAGGCCATGGAAGTACATTTCCTGGCTGGCTGCTGGCTATGGTGATTCTCATCAGATTTTAGCCACATCTATTCTAAGTCTCTGCTACCCAAGGCAGAGATATCGATTCTGCTGCAAAGCACTGGGCATCAGCCACAGTCAAAAACTGCTTCTTCTTCAAGCAGAGTCATAAAAAGGACTCTGACAACATTTACGTCATATCATAGAACTGGGTAAGAACTTCCAAAATCCTAGTGAAGAAAGAGATAATCCCAAGTTCAAGTAGAACAAGAATTACTTTTTCTGCCTACTTTCCTGCTATTTCTGCCAACTTGATCCCTTAAAATTTCGGAAAACTATTCAAGAATTTTCTTGTTTTTATGGCAATATAATTATTTATATAAGTTCAGTAAAAATCTACTCTTTATGGGAGGGTATATTGGAAATACTGGCTCTATCACTAAGTCCGTGGG